CTCAGAAGCCCTGTGAGTGTCCCTGGCACACATCAAAAAGGCATTTCTAATAATCTCCAAAATTTTGACTTTTTTGCTTGACTATTTGTGATATGTAGTATTTTAACTCAATACTTTTCTTCAATTTATCATTAATACTATAGTATAAACTATAACATAGAAAGAGTATAATTTTATTCAGGGCATTTAAAGCACTAAATTGCAATAAATAGCATGTAGTTATTGTAAACATGGAAGGGTAATGAAGCTCTGAGAGAACTGAGGCAAATAGCCCAGGCTCTAGACTTTGTGAAGCTTTGTTTGATTTGCCTTTGTTTGATTTACCTTGAAAACAGACAATTCAAGTGTGTGATAGTAATCTAGTTATGCGTGGTTATGCTACTACTATGACCATGTAGTATTTTAGTGCAGTAAGACACAGACACTAGGTAGAAGTATAAAAGTGGTAAAGTGCACAGGGTTGGGAATCAGCCTTCCAGGGTTCAGATCCAGGCAACGTTGCTAGAAAAGGATAAGGTATAAATGAGAATAGCTGGATAAAGACAGATAGATTAAATATTTTTCAGAACTTCAAGAAAAGCTTTATTTATTTAGGTTCAGGTGTCAAAGTTATAACTGAGGAGCTGTCCCAAATTAGAGGAGACTAAGAAGATATGACAATTTAATACTATGTGGGATCTTGTTTCCAAAAAAAAAACACTAGTAGGACAATTTACAAATTTAAATAAGGTTTGTAGATTAGGTTTGGTGGATCAAATAAGGTTTGCTGGATCAAAGTTAATTTTCTGATTTTTATTACTGTATTGTGATTAAAGATGTTAACATTTAGGGAAGATGAGCAAAGGGTAGCCATGACTGGTGTGGCTCAGTGGATTGAGCGCTGGCCTGTGAACCAAAGGGTTGCTGGTTTAACTCCCAGTCAGGGAACATGCTTGGGTTGTGGGCCAGGTCCTCAGTAGGGGGTGTGAGAGAGGTAACCACACATTGATGTTTCTCTTCCTCGTTCCCCTCTGTAAAAAAAAAAAAGTTTTGTGGCTCAGTTAGTTGGAGCATTGTCTTATACACCAAAAGGTTGAGAGGTCAATTCCCGGTCATGGCACATACCCAATAAATATATCCTCGGGTGAGGATTTAAAAAAAAAGGGAGAGAGAGAGAGAGAGAGGAAAAAAAATTAGATGAGTGAAGAGTATATGGAAACCCTCTGGATTAATTTTGGACATTTTTTTGTAAGTCTGTGAGGGAGGCCCAGTCCCGCAGAGTTCTCCCAACAATCACAGACAAAGAAATAAATTGTATCATATATGAGTTGCCTGTTGGGAAAAGCGGGTGGTGATCATCTCTAGTGGAGAATTCCCTGAGCCCGTCTCTGAGGTGACTTTTACTGAAAATGAAACATGCCAGCGTATACAGCATAGGTGCATGCAAAACTTATCAATTTATGTCAGAGGACTCTAGATAACAATAAAAGGAACAAATAGATCAGCCTTGGGTTAGGGTCTATCAGACATACTGAAGCCAGATGGTCATGAAACCAAGGTTCAGGGGCTCAGGAATCTTCTCCCCTGCTTTGAAGTCAGGTACCTGGTTTTTCCTTATCAGGGCAGTACTAAGCAGAGCAAGCTTCAGTAAATATAATGCACTCTTTAGGTCCGATCTCCCACTGGAAACTTTGGTGCTAATATCGGGTCATGTCTGCCTCCCGGCATCCCGGGCTGTCCAGTCAAGACTTACAGGCAGGGCCTGGCTCGCATGGGGCTACAATTCCAATACCACACAAAGCGGTCCCCAACAAGTCTGAAATTATTTTACAATTATCTTAAAAATTAAAGTTTAAAATAATGAAAAATGCCGGTGAAGAACTGTTCTGTTATTAAAATTAAGCAAAGTTGTCAAAAAAAAAAAACAATGAGGTTTGAGAAGTAGGCAGAAACAGACTTTGTAAGGATTTGGTAGCCATGTTGAGGAATTTAGGCCTTTCATCTTAGGAGCAACAGAAATTGAAAGGTTTTTAAGAACAGGTTGGGTGTGGGTCAGTTTACCATAGAGGGTCCCAAAAGGAAACAGATGGCATTGTCAAGATAATTTGAGGAGATTTATTTACATGAGGCTATAAAAGTATGGACTTAGGGAACCATCCAACTAAAGCCAACAGGTGGGTAAGTGGAAGAAAAGGAGATTTAGACTGACAAAGAGTAGTTAGTCAAAGAGGGTGAAGTCATGGAAATGGAGAATGTTTAAGGGATGGGGTAATTAACCAATGTCAAAAGAGTAAGATAAGCGCTGAAAATTGGATATAGTCACTCAGTCAATTTGTGACTTTGGCAAGAACTGTTTCAACAAAGCAATGATGGAGGAAGGCAGACCAAAATGAGTTGAGAAGTGAGAAAGTGAAAAAAATGGGGACAACTCTTTTGATATATTTGGCTGTGTTAGGGTGGGGAAAGGACACACTTCATTCTACAAGCTTCCCCATTTTTCACTGTGGAATCCACTGCAACAATAGGAACTCCCTTAACAAATCTCTAAGGCAACACGATTACAAAGAAAGATTCTTTGTGGAGACTTAAGCTTATCTATAAAATGACTGTTAACAAAGCATAGCCAAATCAAACAAAATGTTCAGCCTTACTATCCAAATGTCATCCATTTTCCAAATCCAAACATGATCGTCACAAAGTAGAAAGTTTCCTAAGGTCAGCATTGCAAAGGTATTGGCATTTCCCTTTGAGAGCACTCAGGCATAATTTAGGGGATACACGTGACATTCCTAGCACCTCATACAAACTTCTAGACATAAATAAAAGAATTAAAGATGATTTTTTTGTGTGATGATTTGTCTTCAGGAAAAGTATAGAAGACACAAATATAGCCAAGTTTTACATACCTGCATAACACTTATTTTCCTCAGAACATAGCAACTTGAGGACAAATCAAAGCTTCAGTAACAACTACAGTTTTCTTTTCTAGTCTGCTACCCAGGCTAGTTCCTAGAATCCTGCCTCCAGAAGATTCCTCGGGTTCTATGGGAATTTTGCATAAGGGTGCTATTGTTCCTCATGGGAGTTTTGGAAAAAGCTCTACCACTTAACTTCTCTCTCGCCCCACCTGCCTGCTGTGTGACCTTCACTGCCATTGTCTATTGCTACTTCTAAGTGCTGAGAGCTTTGCACTCCTAGCACTCCTAGCGCTTCGAGCCAACCCTAAGCCATTTAGCGCTTATAATCATAGCTGCATTGAGCGATCGGACTCCCTTCACAGCCTAGGTGGTCCGGGTCACGGCCCAGCGTCCCCCAATTGTTCATTTCAACCCAAACCAAGATCCTGGGCAGATTCACCTTCTTGCTCTCTCCAGCCTTGTTCTTGTCCACTCTAAGACAAGCGTGCAATCTCTTCTGTGGGACTATCAGCCATAAAGTTTCCATCATTATTTCTTGCAAGGGACTCTCATGAACCCAGAGTTCCTGAGGGAAGGGTTGCAGATTAAACTTCCCACCGTAGCACTAATTGTTAGATTACTACTTTTTAAAAGCAGATAGTTCTCAAAATTAACATTTTCCAGCTGGGCAATCCTCACCCTACAGATGCATTTTAAAAAAATGTGTGGTGTCAACCTGACCGACCTGGTTTAGTTGGTTGGGCACTGTCCCACAAAATGAAAGGTTCCATTCCAAGTCAGGACACGTGCCTAGATTGCGGGCCAGGTCTCTGGTAGGGGGAATGTGAGAGGCTATCTATCCATCTTTCTCTGACACATTGATGTTTCCCTCTTTCTCTTTCTCCCTCCCTCCCCTCTCTCTAAAAATAGATAAATCTTTTAAGAAAATGTGCAATGTATTTTTGAGCCTATTTCTCCTGGAGTTTGATTAAAATTGGCCTGAAAGATGAGATTCTAAATGGAGGCACACAATTTTCGTATGTTCTTCCACAGGTAGTCAAGTGAAACACAGAAGTAACTATTACTGAATGAATGATCCTCAATTCTCAGCATTTAATATATACTTTTAATATCCGAAAGTTAGAACTTTCTTTCTAAAATAAATGCACTTTTTTGGGGGGGAACTGCTTTTTAATCAATTCCATTACATTTTTCTTAGATTAGTCTTTAATACCAACATTTTTTTTTTTTTCCTAACAGAATGAGGACTCAGAATCAAACTTGTAAGTGCAGGCTAATGGGAGCTCCTAATTTTTAGTGCCCTAATACACTTCCTGTGAATGTCCTTACACAGTAATGAACTTCAAAAAAAGCCAAAGACTTGCATACATCAAGAGGCAAAAAATATATTTCGAGTCAGCCCTTCTAATTATAAATATTAGTTGAAAAAGTAAATTTCCATAACTGAAACTTTAAATTGAGTTTTTAATAATCCGTTCTACTGAAAAAAAAAGGTGCCATAAAATATTTATGGAACAATATAGAGAAGTATGTTCAGCATAATCTGAATTTCTTAATTTTAATGTTTAAATCCAAATCCAGCACATATTTAACAACCCATTTGCTTTCCAACAAACTAAAATTTAAAGGAAAAAATAGCCCTGGCCAGGTGGCTCAGTTGGGTGGAGCATCGTCCTGAACACCAGAAGGTTTAGAGCTCAATCCCTGGTCTCTGCATGTATGGAGGCAACGGGGCAATGTTTCCCTCTCATACTCATGTCTCTGTCTCCCCCACCCCTTTCTCTCTGAAGTTAATAAACATATCTCCAGGTGAGTTAAAAAATAAAGAAATTAAATAAATAAAAAATATATTTTATCTTCCCAAATAAAGAACACATAACACAGATTGCTTTAAATTAAAAACATATGATATAGCACATATGTATGTACATACGTGATGGAAAGTATACTTAAATAATCCTTAAGATGAGTGAAATAGGCATATCCTATTTGTATAACAAAGGCTGAGGAATGTAAGCTTTTAAATCACACAATCCCTGGACACAACTTTTTTATCCACAAAATAATCCCTTAAAAGCAGTTATTAGACAAAACAACAAAAACTTTTATCCAAGGTTTTTGGCCCTTTTTATTGACTTTCTTTTCTGCAAAATCTCTCAAAAATTAAACTGTATATTTTTTGTATTTATAAACATCAAGCTTTCAAGCCACATTACTACAGTCCTTAGAAACAATTCATTTCTTCAGTTCATCGTGCACAGCTGGGTTGGTGGAGGCAGTAGCTTGGAGCTCTTCAGTTTCTCCCTTTAAAACAAACCCAGCAGGCACTGGGTTTTCCAGTTTCACAGCAAGAGCTGCATAGTTAAGGCTGGTATTCTCACTCCAATGCCAATATCCTGAAAAGGGGTTGTAGATCATTCCCACCACAGTTTGAACTGACAGACCATCTGAAAAACACATCACAAAGAGTAGATTTAATAAATATTTATCTCCCAGACGCCAAGAGTCTCAAGCAACTCTCCATGTTAAAAAAGATTGCTAACTCAATGGGCAAAAAATACTTTATAACCACGTGCTGATCATTCTCTACTGCAGCATAGAGCATAAAATCTAAAGCCGACTGCTTGGGTTCAAATCCCAGCTCTGGCACCTATTAGATGACCCTGGGTAAGTCGCTTCACCATTCTGGATTTCAGTTTTCTCACATGGACAGAACATATATCATAGAGTTGTTAGAATTAGATGAGATATGTGTGTAAAGTAGCGCAGCACTTGGAATTTGGTAAGTACTCAATAAACATTAGCTGTTTTTAAGAAAATACTTGCCAACAAGTAATTGTTCCTGTAAAGCATCTTTAAAGAATTTTTTCTACTCTATTTTCAACAGGTTACTTGCACAAATCTTTAGAACTTACTACTGCATTGGACTGATAATATTCCATGTAAAATCAAGTTTATTGATATATTGTTTTAATGAACAAAAAGCATGAGACATACATGAATCTAAGTACTTAACAGGAATACCAAATGCCAAATAAATAAATAAACTGATAAATGTTATTACTTGATAGGAATTCAACACATAAACCCAATGTTAATGATGTGTACAGCAGAGCTAGGCACTGAAAGGAGAACAATGAAGAGACATAGTTTGACTTCAAGAATCTTACAGGCCAGGATGGGGCTTGAAAACACCAGAATAACCGTTAGATAAGACATGTTATAAGTAGCATAAAATACATAAAACTTGACAAGGAAGTTCAAAATATTTCCAAGTATGGGAGAATCAGAAAAAATAATATGTAAGATAAGCTAATACAAGGAGGGCTGAACAGGACAAACTCAGGGTATGTAAGTAATAAACGTTTGTATCTCATCCTTAAACAAGTGAGGACTAAACAGCCAAAAAGTATTCATTGATTATCTGTGATTTGCTTGGCTCTGGGTTAGGTGCCAAGGTGAGAGAGAAGTGGTATCTAATACTTAATCCTAACTTCAAAGAGTTTATGATCTCGTTGAGGAGATGAAACAAACATCCAAGGAACTGTGGCCTCTTTAATTAAGTGCTATGTTATGTGATTAATAATTATAGGTACATTAAAAGTTCAGCTAGGCCTTGAAAATTGGAAAAATTCTTAAATACTCACTTGATTCCAGAATGCTCTCTAGCTTTTCAGGTGAAACAAACTTCTCCCAGGTATGAGTACCTTTCGGTACAATACCTGCAATTTGCTCTGAAAAAACAATTCCCAAAGCATAGGATAGCTGTGTTTTGTTGATTGTAGTAATGAATAAAGAACCACCAGGCTAAAAAACATATGTACAGAAGTAAAATTTTAAACATCAGGAGCATCAGTTAGGTAAAGGCATAGCTTCTTCCACCCTTCTTCCTTCCAAAAAATTTAAGTGTAGTTAAGATACATAAGTATGAATAAAATATAATTTACCAAAATAGCATGTTTTTACTCTTGGGAAATTCATTACTAAAGGCAATTCACCCTCGTTGATGTGGCTTAGTGGATTGAGTACTGGCCTGCAAACCAAAAGCTCACTGGTTCAATTCCCAGTCAGGGCACATGCCCAGGTTGCAGGACAGGTCCCCAGTAGGGGGTGTGTGAGAGGTAACCACACATTTATGTTCTTCTCCCTTTCTCCTTCCTTTCCCTCTCTAAAAATAAATGAATAAAATCTTTAAAAATAAAACATAAAAAAATAAAGGCAATCCACTACTGATACACTCACCGAGTTTACCCAACAGTGCTTGCAACTCTTAAAATCATACATTACTATGACTTATATTTATATTACATACATTGCTTTGTACATATCAAATACTTTATAATAAAAGTATAGAAATGAGATCAGGCTGCTCTTCCCTGTTACATGCCTGCATTTATGATTTAATATGGGCCCACAGTTTTCTCTTTGGGTGCTGAGTCAGTCTCTCTTGTTTGGTACAGTGTACAGCTCCACATGGAGGCAAGTAACGCCAGTAATAGTTCTTTGACAAGAACATTAATGATTAAGGTTTGGAAATGTTTTGTTTGATTTCATTAGTGTAAAGCTGAGATTTTCAACAGGGATGCGGCAAGGATTTTTAAAACATGCAATGCTTGACTATTTAGTCAGGGGCACTGACCTCTTTTCCCTTAGACTGTCAAGTAAAAAAATGACAACAGCCAACATAACAATAGCCATCCAGTGTGAATAAATCAAAATTATTCCTATTTTTTGTCAGACTGGCAAAAAATATATTTTTTGGTGTGTCACAGAATTTTATAAATTAGTTTGTGTGCCATGAAATGAAAAAGATTGAAAATCACTTTTATAAAGACTATGAACAGATCAAGATAAGTATTTTAGATGAATATACACCATTTATGCAGCTGTTCAGTCTGTCAATTTTTTAGTGACTGTATTTATAGTGCTTCCTATATTTATTCCCACAGATAGCATCTCCTCTCTTTCTTACACATTCTCATTAGCCTAGTGAGGATAAATGCCAAAGAGTCTCTGCAAAATAATCACATTACTATACACAGGGTGGGACAAAAGTAGATTTACAGTTGTTCATATGGAAAATAATACAATAATTAATAAATAGTAATACAAGAATAAATTGTTTTGCATACTCATAACTGTAAACCTACTTTTGCCTCACCTTGCATGTACATATATAGGAAAGAGAAAGTGAGAGAATATATCTCAAATATCACCCCAAAATCCAAAAATAGGAAAAAGGAGGCCCTGAAATATTGCCAAGTACACTCAAATTAAAAACTGACATATCAAACACTATTTCATCACACACTGTAACTTTCCTCTGTAAAACTTTAGTATTCTAAAATATCTTCTTAAGAATCACTTATGAGTCGATTATATCATAATAGAGCTAGGGGAAAAATTGTTAAATGTAGGGGAAACTAGGTGGAGCATATATGCAAATACTCTGTGCTATTTTTTGCAACTCTTTTATAATCTAAAATTATTCAAAAGAAAAACCATTTTTAAAAAGCTCTATTTAGGTAAGACCTAAGCATTGCATTCTTTTAGCTCTTAACTTTAGGGTGTTACCTCTTAAATATATAAACAATAGAGTCAATATAGTAATAACAATAACAACACTTCATGGATATTTATTAAAAGAAAATTTGGAATCACTTTCAGAGGACTAAGTCTGTGGCAAATTATATAAGCATAATAATAGGAAAAACCAGATTTGGAATCAAAGGATGTAGCTTTAAATGCCACTTCAGTATCTAGTGACCTTTAACTTAAAGATGAAATGACCTTTGACATTTCCCAAATTCTGATCTTCATTGGTCAAAGGAGGTCATAATAATGCCTGCCTCACCTTCCTAACCTGGTTGTAGGTCAGATCAGGTGAGATCATATGCATGAAGTATTCTTTTACAAGCCGAAAACTGTTATACATATCACTTACAGAGTACTTTAAGAAATGCTAAGTCAACTTACGCTAATAATGATTTTTACTGATTTTTAAGTATTAATCCAAACCAATTTTTTAGTTATTGTCATTCAATGTCTTTTAGATATTTAATCTAGACTATACTAAAGGAAAAATACCACATAAATCTTTTGGTTATATTACAATGTTCAGAACCAATATTTTTCAAGCTCCCTGAATATCAAGACACTAGACGTGGAAAACCCCGGTCCTGGGAGGCAAGCTGAGAGGCAGAAGTAATCTCCAGCAGAGATGCTGTTCCCTGCTCCTGGCTTCCTGATTTCAAGTATTACGAAACATTTATTGCTATGGCTACATGCACACACTGAAAAGAAAAATCAAACAAGTAAACTCCACAAGTCTTACTTTTAACACTTGACAGCAGCACTGTATAAATGTTTCTAGATCAATCACATGCTCTACAACTTCAGAAGCTATGACAGCGTCAAACGTTTCTGCAGTCTCTTCCACAATCTCTTCCAGGGAACACGCTCTGTATTTTACCCTCTTATCCAGAACTGGATCAAATGATTTATGGTGCTGTGCTGTTTTAATGTTCTCATCCACAGGGTCAATTCCAATAACTGAAGCCCCAAGCCGCCCTAGAGGCTAATGGTGTAAAAAAACTGTTACCCTCAGGAAGAAAATAGAACATGTGTTAGCAATAAAAAGCTTATCAAAAAGGCAACAAGATTAACCACGAGGGGATAATTATTGGAGATAATTTATGGGTACAAGGAAGTTCGTTAAAGCATTTTCTCTAGTTTGTACATGTTTGAAAATTTCCATAATAAAAAGCTTAAATGTGAGAACAATAATCACAACAAAAAATTCATCAAGAACTACTTGAAAATAATTTAAAAAATTATTTATGTTCTCCAGGCACATTTAACACACACATAGTATAGTGGTTGACATATTTAAAGTGCAATAGATGTAACATGGTAAAAACTGCAGATTTTCTGATATTCATATTGTCAAATTTTCTTCATAACTTTCAGCAACTGACTAGGAATAATTCTTCACAGCTATGTCTTCTTTTGACTTTTATATTCAATCACTTCCTGTGAAATGCCCAAGTTTTTAAACACAGCCTTAATATTTACCAAACTTGCATAGCATTTATTTTACAACTCTTCATTCAACAAGTTAAAAGTATAAATCAAATTATCTTAACTTTAGAGACATAAGATTTGCAATAATACACTGAGATTGTAGAACACATATAATAAAATCTTATTTATAATTTGATATACCACCTATTCTTGATTCTAAGAGCGTATTTTCACATATTTTACATTTCCTGAAATTTTATAGTTGATATCAGAGAAGCCAGCCCATCACCATATAAAGAACATGTTTTCTGTGCATGTGGAAACTTAGCTATGCATCAAAGGCCTTTGGCAGGCTCATTCTCAACTTGCTGTTATGGACCTTGACAGTGCCACAGCCCATTGAACCTTCACTTACATTTATATCCTACACTGTTGCTTCAAATATCTTTTAAAGATCATACTATGATGCAGCATTGAAACAAAAAGTTACTGTGTTGATAGAATACAAAATAAAGCTGCAGAGCATACATTTACTATAAGCTAAAGCAAATCTTCACAGATAGAATGAGCATTCTTCCAAGTACTCCAAAGCACCTGAAAAGGGAAAAGTCCCATAAGCAGACAAAACTCTGTTAGGTTTTGATATTGAAGAAAAGGCAAAAGAACGGCTTATCATAGTATCTACACCAGTGGAAATTGCCCAATCTCTTGTAATAGAAGAAACAACAAAATTTCCAAAGCTATTCAAATGACTGGTGCCTCATTTTTGTGTAAAAATAAATCCCTCACTATAATTTTCTGAAATTTTTATATTTTAAGAAAATATATTACTTTTATAGTCACAAAAATATGAAAAACATTAGGCATTTTTAATAAACAATATTATTTGTTAGAAGGATAAATGAGGCAAAAGCCCCCTTCTTAAAAATGTTTCCCCAGTTAAAAACGGCAGGAAAGCTGTAAACCACTTACTTCCGTTAACAATCCACCACCACAGCCAACATCAAGAATCTTCATCCCGGACAAAGGTTTTCCTGGCTGGTGATTAGCAACTGTTTTTAAAAGATTGTCTCTTTTAAAAAAATTCAAAACATATAAAAATTATATCAATTAAGTCTTGAAATGTAATTTTCAATGAAATAGTAACTCATTTTAAATGGATTAATGATTTAGGGGGAAAACAGGTCTTTTGTTTTCAGCATCAAAAAACTATGTTTATAAGGTACTTTTTATTTTTTTAACTTATTGATTTGAGAGTGAGAGGAAAAAAAGAGCAAGAGAGAGAACATGAGAGAGCAAGAGAAACATCAATTTGTTGTCCCGCCTAATGGGGACTGAGCCCACAATCTCGGTGTGTCAGGACGGCGCTCCAACCCACTGAGCACCTGACCGGGGCAAGGTATTTTTAATAATCAACAGCAGGAAGTTTAAAGTAAAGCTCTTGAAATAATCTAGCAATAATTATGACTTAATTATTATTTTAGTCATAATCTAAAGAAAAACTTTTAAAATATCCTAGGTTAGATGAACCGAATTCATTTGCTCCGACACCATGTCACCCCTTAACTGCGCTGCCAGTACTCGCTACACCCATTTCATGCCTGCAACAGAGGGGTTATTTTACAGGGCTGAGAAGAAGCAGATTGGAAATCTCTTATTTTCGGAATTTGCCTGTATTCCCTTCTAAACTGAGTTTCTTTTAATCTTCTAAGTGAGTGGTGTTATCATGATCATGTAAACAGGCATCCAAATCAGGTAAACTTAATTCTGAGATAATCACAGTAATGCTTTACCGCATGTGCAAACGTAAGTGCACACACACACAGTATTGTAAACTAAACTTTTAAGTTGGAATAGATAAGAATTTTAATTGTATTTATTAAAATAAATGTTATATATAATAAGGATATCTCAGGATATCTTTTATTGCTATTAAAATTAATTGACTTCTAAGAATAACCGAAGTAGTAGTTAAGTAGATAACTTCAGAATGTTGTACCATACAGAAAGGACCCATTTCACATGAAATCCAAGCCATTCTTCACATGCCAGCCAAAATGACTCCTTTATATGATACTTTAGATCATATCACTCCCCTTCAGTGGCCTACCATTATACTCAGAATAAAATCTACACTTCTAAACATTACTTGCACGGCCCTGGGTGATCTGTTATAGAGTGGTTGATAAGTAATAGTGTCCCAGTAGTTTGAACAGAGTGGGTCTCAAGCGGAGAGCATACGAGAATTATCTGGAAGGTAATCTAAAGCACAGTCCATGACCCCATAAAGCAGTAGGTCCAGGGTGAGACCTGAGAATTTTGCATTTCTAACAAGTTCCCAGGTAATACTAATGTTGTTAGTCCAGGGCCTATATCTTGAGAACCACTATCTAACATAAAAAAGGACATCTTGCTTTTCACTGTCTTCAGTGTTTCAGTGATCCACAAATCCAGTGGTATAAAAACGTGCCAATTTCCCTTTGCATCAGCAAAAACCAGTCAAGAGGTTCCTTGATATTCTGTGTCTATTACAGTGCCATGCCCATGTTGGTTGCTCAAAAATATTTAATGATCATTTAAATGAACAAACATAAAAATGAATGAACAATTTCTTAATAAATAGAGTCTAATGAATCCTTGCCTTTACCTCAGACAGTAAACTATAAGTTCCTGAAGTATATGAGTATGTTCTGATGAAACTCTTACTAGCTTCTACAGTGTCTACCCCCCAAGCTCTGTACAAGGTAAGTTCCCAATAAATACTTGTCAATAAATATTTGTTGAATTGAAGTATCTCAGCAATAGTACCTTTACCAGGACTGCCTAAAGATCAAAGTTGCTATAAAATGCCCTTGATGCCATAGGATCTTAATTCCTTTTCATAAGGACGTAATTCTAATTACCAGATAATGTCCAAAAATGCTTCAAGTTAATTTACAAAAGCAGCATAAAAGTTGGATGACGATATTTAAAAATTAGTGGTTTCAAACAATAGACATTGAGGAGAATCTCCCTAATTTCTAAAGCGAACTTAAACATGGCATTTTGAACCTAGGTATAAACCAAGAGAAAAATGAACTGCAAAGAAGACCAATTATTAAAAAGACTTGCATTTTAAAAGATTTAGAATTTGTGTAATGTTACCTAATAAACGGTACCCTCAGATCATTCATAGAATGAAGAGGTGCATACACTCCTTGCTCATCCCACCACTTGTGAGCCAGGGTCAGGAAGGTTTTCACCTCGTTGCTGTCTACAGTGGTTTGAGAAGTACTGTACAGTCTTGTCCAAGGGTATCTGAGAGGTCAAAATAAAGAGCCAGGCAAAAACTGCTGTTTTTACAAATGTAACATGAATATATTACGTGGAAAGATTCTAATTTACAATTTATTAGATTCTAAATATGTGTATTGCTCATTTTTGATGCTTCAAAACCAAGTTTCCTTATAATCACACTGCTTATAAATACACCTTTATTCACAGATGAAACAAAATTAATTTGCTTTCAAAGTAAGTTACAATGAAAATGAAACTATAAAACTTGGCTTTCTGAGTCACATTTAACAGTAGTAGTAATAGTAGTAGTAGTAGCAGCAGCATCGGTAACCGTTTATTGAACCATTTTCTAAAATGTCACTATTATTTAAGAACTGAACATATGTCATCTCATTTAGTCTTCCTGGCAACTTTATGAGGTAGGGCTGTACCACTATTAATATCTCTATTACAGAGATAAGAAAAGGGGAGCTCAGAGAGATTAAGTGGCAGAGTCAGGACTTGAACGCAGGTGCCTCCACCTTCTCCTCTTCATGTCCACTGCTATCACCCTAGTCCCAGCTCCCATCATTTCTTGTCGGAATCATTATCCCAGCCTTCTGATTAATCTGCCTGCTTCCTAGCTCACCCGCCTCCAATCTTCTCTCCACCGCTATCCACTGCTCTCCTTATCCTCCCCACTTCAGCCATGTGGGCCTTCGTTCAGGTCTTTGAACTACCACGCTTGCTCCTTCCTCAGGTCCTTTGTATATGCTGCTCCCTCTCCTGGGAACATTACTCTCACATTACCCCTTCCCTTCTGTACATACTATTTAATTCCTTCTCATCTTTCAGCTCTTTGTTTGAGTGGAATGCCATCTAAGAAGTCTTCCCTGATTCTCTGAACTGGTCATATTCCCGTTTTAAGTCCCATACAACTTTGTACTTCTTCATGGGGCAATGTGATTATTTGATCCTGTCTCCCCACAGCAGATAAGCACTGTGAGAGCCAGGCATGGACTGTCTCGCTCACCACGTCATTCCTGGTGACTAGCACATTGCCTGAGCACCTCAGTTGGTGCTCAGGAAACATTTGTCAATTGAATAATCTGAGGGAGGAGGCCCAGAAGAGTATATATTCACCTAAAAAAAAATTTTTTTTTAAACAGATGGGCTCACACAGGGACTAAACAGGGATCAGACAGACAACTAAACCAAGTTTCATGTCAAAGTACACAATAGGAAAATCCTCCAAAGTTTCTTGGGTAAAAGAGAATAAGGTTGTTATATTAAAATAGGCAATACTGTTCAAATATTCACTATGTTTTTCTTAGCTACATAGAATACATTCTACAGTGATTATTTATTATCCTTTCCAGAGTTAAGTGTCACTCTTTAATACCATCTTTTGAATATTACCCTCCTTTTCCATGCTTCATGCAAAGGCTCAGTAATCAAGGACTAATTCACAATAGATGGTTGCTCAGCTGACTATGAGAATGGTTTCACAGACACCCAGTCTTATGGGAGCTAGCTCATTTACAAGTAAAAGCATGCATTTATACCTTAATCCCATGCTATATTTTTTACAAGGTTAGAAATTGGTTTATAAAATAAGAATATGGAAAGAAATTACTTTGATTCAATCTTGCTACCTAAAATGTATACTTATCCACCTTATCATACTATTTATGTTGCACCTAAATCATTTATAATTTTAAGCACTGTATTATTTCTCTCCTGTCATAAAGATAATATGAGGAAGTAAAAAGTACTTCTCCAAGTCATAGAGTCTTATATTAAAAATCAAAGGTACCCCTGAATATTGATAATGGGTATGCACTGAATATGTTATTAACAATTTTTCTGTGGGTTTGAAATATTCCAGATTCAAAAGGTGCTGGAGAAATAAAAATATTTAGATAAAAAAGTACCTTAATCAAGTCATATGAGCTATTAAATACTGACAGGGTTTATTAAACACAGCCATTGTAAAACTATTAATCACATAATTATGTAAATATTTGCCACAGTAATGAATAAACTTACCTGTAATTTTTCATTGTATTCAAGCAGGCAAAATTCATTCTGTATGATTTGAACCACATAATTCTGTATTTACTGAAAACCCATGGTTTAATTTGTAGAGTCCAACTGAGCTGATTCTCTAAATAGACTGAAAAAAAAAATTAAATGTCTAGAGAAAGCACAGCATGAATCCCTAATATATATGTATGTGAAGAAACTATTTTATATGGCAGTCTTATGTTATTATAATAAACAAAAGAGTTGTTCCCTAATTTTGGATTTTATTCTAAAATATAAAGGTCTTGCATTCTACCATCTAATTCTTATCAGACATTTCTGAAAATGTAATTAGCAAAAATAAGTAATGCATATGTAAAAGTTTTTCATGCCATTAATTTTTGTATCTACATTATGCTGCATAAAATTATCAAGAATGATATTAAAATTAAAACTACATTAATTTTTAAACTAGGGTAATATTGGTTATGAGATTATTTATCAAAACTTGTTCAAATTCTGTCACTTACATTTAGCTACATGAAATGGACTTCTATGTATATTCAACACCCTTCACACACACAAAAAAACCTCATAAAAACTTCGAAATAACACTAATCTAGTCTATATGTTCAAACTTAGATAGGGACCTGCTTTACAAACTATTTATCCTGCTGCAGAACATTCAGTTGTTCAATTTAGAAAAAGTAAGCCTTAGAAGAGCAAAGAAAATCACCATGCTCATTGAATTATGATAAAAAGTACAATCCCCCAGGAAGACAAAGCAATACTAAATGTGTACACACCAGACAACAGACTTCCAAAACACATGAAGCAAAAATAAAATTGAGAGGAGAAGTGAATCTACAACTATTGTTGGAGACTTCAACACACCTTTCTCAGTGATTGACAGTCTCACTAGACAGAAAATCAGCAAGGAAACAAAAGAACTGAATAACACAATCAACCAATAAGATCTAAGAAAGAAATTTATAAAACATTCCATCCAAACAAAAACAAAATATACATTCTCTCAAGCATGCATGGAGTATTCATAATGATAGACCATACCCTGGGATGTAAAACAAAACTTCACAACTATAAAAGAAGTGAAATCATATAAACTATGTTCTCTGATGATAGTGGACTCAAACTAGAAATACATAACAGAAAGATAACATGAAAATAAAGTTAGATATTAAACAACACAATTCTAAACAATCCATGGGTCTCAGGGAAACAAAGTCTCAGGGAAACAAAACTGAAATAAACTAAAATATACAACATAAAAATTTGTGGACATAGTTTAAGCAGTGGAGGGAAACTTATAGCACTGAATATGCATATTAGAAAAGAGAAAAGGTCTCAAGTCAATAATCTAAGTTACTGTCTCAACAAACTAGATGAAAAGTAAAATAAACCCAAAGAAATCATACCAAAGAAAATAATTATACAAGTAAAAGTGATTAACATTTAAAAAAAAACAGAGTAGATAAAATAAATCAAGCCAGAAGTTAATTCCTTTCAAAGATCAATAAACTTGATGAACTTCCAGCAAGGCTGACAAAGAAAGAGAAGACTTATGTAACCAATGTCAGGAATTAAAGAGGGGATATCACTATGAACCCAAGGGACATAAAAAGGATGATAAGGGAATACTAAAAACTCTACACAGAATTTTCTACAATTTAGACAAAATGAACCAATTCCATGAAAATCACAAACTATCAAAACCCATACAAGATGAAATAGGTAGCCTGAATAGTCCTATAACTGGCAAAGAAATTGAATTCATAGATTAAACCTCCTGAAAAACAAATCTCTAGGCTCAGTTGCTTCACAGGTGAATTCTTTCTACCAAATACTTAAGGAAGAAAATACAACCAATTTTACCCAGTTTCTTCCAAGAAATAAAATAGTGAGAAACACCTACCTCCCAGCCCATTTTATTTAAGCCCCCATGACTATGATACAAAAACCAGACAAAGATGGGATAGCAGAGAAAATCACAGACCAGTTTCTCTCAGGAACAGATAAAAAATTCTCAACAATGAGTAAAAATAATCCAGAAACATACAAAAAAACACTGTAGCACAACCACATGGGACTGTTTCCAGCTATGCAACACTAGTTCCATATTAGAAAATCAATGTAATTTACTATATTAATAATCAAAAAAAGAAAATGATCATCTTATTAACTGATCTGGACAGAACATTTGACAAAACCATACTCATTTATGATTAAAAATTCTCAGCAAATTAAGAATAGAAGGGAAATTCTTCAATCTATAGAGCATCCATAAAAACCCTATAGCTCATACAGTACTTAATGGTGAAAGACTAAGTGCTTTAGCCCTAACATCAACACCAAAGCAAGAACGCCCATTCTCATGATTCCTGTTCAACGCGGGACTAAAAAATCATAGCAAGTGCAATAAAGAGGGAAAAAAGGAAATAAAAGGTATACAGAATAGAAAGGAAGAAATTAAACTGTCCTCATTTAACAACAAAACAAATTTAAAAAAAGCTCCTGGAACTATTCTGTGAGTTCAGCAAGGTCAGATTACGAGATCAACAAACAAAAAAAGTCAATTGTTTCTATCTACTACTAACAATAAACAACTGGAAAGCAAAACTCAAAATGCTGTATCATTCAAAATCAGTCCAGAAGAGAATGAATTACTTCCATTATTGTATAAATCTAACAAAACATGTACAGGGTCTATATGCTGAAAATTTATATAAAACATTGATGAAAGAAAAAAAACCACCTATCAAAATCCCAATAGCCTTTTTTTTGGTAGATATAAATAAGCTAATTCCAAAATTTATATGAAATGGCAATAGAAATAGAATAGCTAAAACAATACTAAAGAAGAATTATAAAATTGCAGGAATCACAGTAGCAATTTTAAGACTTACCATAGAACTACAATAATGAAGACTGTGTGCTGTTAGAGCAGGACAAACACACATATCAATGCAACAGAAAAGAGTCCAGAGATAAATGAAAAAATAATTCACTCAACTGTTTTTTTTGACAATGGTGCAAAAGCAGTTCAATGGAGGAGAAATAGTCTTTTCAATAAATGGTATTGAAACAATTGGACAAAAAAAGAGCCCTGGCTGGTGTGGCTCAATAGATTGAGTGCCGGCCTGTGAACTGAATGGTTGCCGGTTCAATTCCCAGGGCACATGCCTTGGTTGTGGGCCAGGCCCCCAGTTGGTGGCACATGCGAGAGGCAACCGATCAATGTATCTCTCCATCCCTTCCCCCCTCCCTTCCCCTCTCTGAAAGAAAGGAAGGAAGGAAGGAAGGAGAAAACTTAACATAAATTTCACATCTTAACTCAAAACTGACCTGAATGCAAACCTATAAAACTTTTAGATGAAAATATAGAAGATCTTCATAACTTAGGGTTAGGCTAGGCTTTTTACACCTGACACCAAAAGCACAACAACCCCTTTTTAAAAAGTTATTAAACTTAATCAAAAATTAAAACTTTTGCTCTGAAAAAGACCCTGCTAGGAAAAAGAAAAGTCACCGACTGGGAGAAAATACTTCCAAAACACCTATCCCACAGAGGATATGGGATTATCTGGAATAGGTAAGGATATTCTTTAAACTCAACAGTAAAAAACAAAACACAGCTCCCATTTTTTTTTTTAAAGCAATCCAATAATAAAGTGGACATGAACATACATTTCATCAGAGGATATGCAAATGCAAATAAGCACATGAAGCAATGTTAAATATCAATAGCCATTAGAGGAATACAAAGGAAAGCTACTGCTTACCTATTAAAATGGCTAAAATTTAATCATCCTGATATTACCAAGTGTGGACCAGGTTATGAAGCAAGTAGACCTTTTATATATTTCTGGTGGGAATGTAAAATGGTATAGACACTATGGAAATCAGTGTAGCAATTTCTAATAAAGTTAAACATACATTTGTCATACAAGACAGGATTTGCAACACTGGACACTTATCCCAGAGAAGTGAAAGCTTATGTCCAGACAAAAATTAGTACAAAAATGTTCATAGTAAGTTTATTCATAATAGTCAGAAACCGGAAACAAATAAAATATACCATAATAGGTGAAGGGTTAAAAAAAACATTGTGTATATCTGTATTGTCAAATACAACTCAGAAATAAAAAAGAATGAACTGTTGCTACACACAATTTGGATAGATTTCAAGCATAGTTATGCTGAGTGGGGAACAGAAAACAATTTCAAAGGGTACATACTGTATTATGATTGATTCCATGTTGAAATGGCAATGTTCTATTAATGAAGAACAGATCAGTGATTGTCAAGGGTTAAGGCTGGGATTAGGGCCTGGCTGTAAAGGAGTGGTACCTGGAAACTTCTTTGTGATTGTGAAACAGTTCCATATTCTGATTGTAGTAGTTGTTACACAAATCTCTACATGTGGGGACACACACACGCGCGCGCGCGCACGCGCACACACACACACAGTGACTGCATGTAAAGATGGTAAAATCCAAATTAGGTCTGAGTTCAGTTAATAGCATTATATTAATGTCAATTTCCTGGTTTTGAGAATGTACTACTTTTGACAAGATGTTATCACTAAGGAGTTGGTGAAGGGCATAAGGAAATTCTCTGTACTATTTTTGCAACTTCTTGTCTTAAATTATATCAAAATAAAAAAAATTTAATTAAAAACTACAAAGGGGCTCACTACAAGGCACCTCTCCTACCCGACTCTAGTTATCCAGTTTTCCCCTTTGGAGGCAACCAACATTACCAGATTCATATGTAAGCTTCTGGAGATATTTTATACATATACTACTTCTGTATATCAATTTCTCTCCTATCTTATACAAAGCATAGCACACCATACACATTCTTCTGCACCTTACTTTTTTTCACCAATCAATATATCTTAAGAGATTTTTTTCTAACAGAGCATAAAGAACATCCTTTTTTAGGGCTGAATGTCTGTCTCATAATTTACTAAATAGCCCCCTATTAATGGATATTTATTTAGATTATTTCCAATTTTTTGCTATTTCAAAAACAAAGACTGAGTTACATATGCAATTTCATATATATGTTTGAGAGTACCTGTAGAAAAAATCCCAAGAATTGTTGTGTCAAATGGCAGGTTGATTTATAAATTTATAATTGCCACTCACAGATGTTTAATTCCATGGATAATAGATAAGTATTTCTAGTGATGGTTTCCCCGCAGTGGTAATACATTGATAATCACCCATGCAATGCATTATCAAACATTTTTACCTTTGCTAGTCTAATAGGTGAAAATGGTATCTCAGTGTAGTTCTAATTTACCATGAGGTTAAGTGTCTTTTCTTAAGTTTAATGGCATGATGGTTTCAATGTTTGTGTCCCTATCCCCTCAAATTCATATTCTAACCCCCAAGGTGATGGCACTGGATGGGCATTTGTGAGGTGATTAGATCTGGAGGTAGAGCCCTCATGATTGCTTTAGTGCCCTTATAAAAAGATCTCAAGAGCGCAGAGCAAGAAAGGTCCATCTACGAACCAGGCTGTGGGCTCTCACCAGACACAGGAACTTGGGCTTCCCAGTCTTCAGAGAGAGAAAGAGAGAGAAAAAAAAGCATTTCTGTAGCTAATACGCAAACAGGTCTGTGGTATTTTGTTACAGCAGTTCCAATGCGCTAAGACAAAAGGTTATTTATATTTACATTTCATGTCTTCTGTTTTATCTGAACTATCTACTTAGCTGTACCACCTTTTAAGACCCAGTTCAAATACCACCTATTTTATGACTTTAGGTAGGTAAATGAGATATTATTAGAGAAATATGTAAACTGTAATACATAGATAGGGATGTATAAGGGGTATTATTATGAAACTGAACCTTAAAGGTTTTAACACTATTCCTGATCTCTGCTTAGTGATGACCCCTATCTCCCTGTCACCTCCCCAATATCTGGCAAATCAGTCTTTCAGTCATCAAACCAGAACAATCAAGAGCTTTAAAAACCACATCACCACAATTAGGAGAAACTAATTCAGTTTGTATTAACAAATAGGATGCAACCAGTTCCTTCTCTACCTTGAATGTGTGGTCATTACGGTATTTGAGATTTTAGAGGAATGGGGAGAAATTTCATTTACTCCAAAGGCATTTATTCAGCTTCTATCAGTAAACAAGAACCCTACCCTGCCAATATCTTCCAGCAATCCTCATTTATTATCTGGATTACTAAGACTTCATTGAGCCTAGTCTTGCTCGCCTCTGCGCTACTTTCTACACTAATGCTAAGTGTTATTTCTTAAGCACAAGGCTGATTATGTTCCTCCTTCTATAATTTCCTACTGTCCTCAAAATACAGTCAGTCACAGGTGTACCTGGCCTTTCATGGACTTGCCATGGCCTAAAAAGTCTCCTGTCTCATCGCTTACCACTCTCTGACCTCACCTCCAGCCCTCCAACCACACTTTTCAAGGAACACCTTGCAGTTTCCACGAAACCTCCTTACAGATGTTCAAGCTGGTGCCGTTGGCCATTCACAATTGCTTCTAAAACTGGCCGATTCCTTCAAGACAGCTCCCTAAATATTTGTTTAAGAGGATCCCCAAATATGTATTATGTGCTGTTTCTATGTTCACTCCCATTATTTGAAAATATTTACACTGTATTTTTTTCTAAATGATTATAAAAAAACATGTTTACTGGGAAAAAAATGCAAAAAGTATATAAAGAATGATAAAATGATAGATCACCAACTCCGCCACAGGTAATCACTGCTAAAGTTTTTATGTATCTCTAGCCCCTCTATATCTCCATCTATATATATCTCTGAATTCATTAATACACACTGATTTGTAACACTTTCTTAACACTATATCCTAATCATTTTTCTTTGTGGATACACATTGATTTAACTCATACCTTTTTTTGGCTATACTTTTTCACTGTATGAGAATATCAACTTAACTCTAGTGGAGGGTGTTTAAATTTCTTTCTTTTCTTGCTATATAAATCTTAGCTTTATCCTAACATTTTCATTTTAAAGTTCCAAGTGTCTGACATACAGTGTTTACTAAATGAGTTTCATGTAAACGATGAACTTAACTTTCTAGTTAACACTGGGAGCAAATAAACTGTCTTCTACATCAGGTGCAGTGCGCTATTTTCTTAAATCTTTGCTTTTTTGATACACTTTGTTGAATTAACGTATTAATCAAAACGTAGAATTGCTGCCTTAAACTCTTTCTGAAAAGAGGCAAGCAGAAACAAGATTGAAATACAACGTAATTAATAACTCTGAGACTGCAGCTGGCGTCCCTTCCCGCTGTGGCAGAGGAAGAAAGCACGCGACCTTGAGACGCCGGCGGGCCCAGCGTAGTCGCCGGCTCCTAAGGAAGGAACTCAATTAGTGTGACAAAAGTCGCTGGATCTACGGCGGCAGCCACAGGCTGCGCTCTCCTCGGCCAGCACAAGTCCTCGGCTATTTTTCCCAGCCTCTGGGAAGGGGAAGGCGACACCCAGACCGGCCATCCAAGGCAGAGCAAGGACCGCACCAAAAGCAAGCAAGGCTCTTTTTCGGATCCCGCACGGAGCCTAGCGGCAGCCCGTCACCATCCCGCGCGCCTGCGCACAGTAGCTGGTGTGCACGGTGGGCTGCGTGCGGGAAACTCCACACTTACCCCTCGACCTGGTTAAGCGAGAGCAGTCAGCCTGTGTACGCCGGCACCCCGACTTAAACACTCCCAAGAAACGACTCCCGGAGGAGCTCAGCTTGCGGGCTCCCCACATCGTTAAAGGATCCACCTCTTTTCCGGTCCCTCCCGTAAAAGATCCTCAACAGAAAGGTTCCGAGATCCACTCTCTCGCAGTCAGGAGTCAGTCAACCACGGTTGCGTTATTAGTGGATGTTACATTATTTTTATATATATGACTGGTTATTCTTCACCCTCAACATGTCAAATTGTGTATGCATTTAAACTATAGAATGTTTCTATTACCATAAACTTAAGAGCCTGTAATGTCTATTCCTATTACTTCCTCAAACTTCATGCCCAAAGTAGCCATCAATCTCATGCTACTGCTCCACGCTATGTAACCTAGCTTTTCTTTTATACCCCTGTAGCTCTATTTCATATATAGCAGATATCTCCGAGGCTTTTATACTCCTGTAAGACACTCTTAGAATCATAAAAGCATGTAAGCACTTCTCTAGAGGTACAAATGTATCCACTTTCAAGGTACTCAAATGTCAGAGCGCCAGAAGTCTAATTTTCCCAAGTGACCTGAAAATATTCTCAACACAGAATACACATTACACAGCAGTAGACTGTTACTCAGGTTAGGCAAACTTCATTTAGAGCAAAGCAGTGATTTGCTAAGTTTATCCCTAAGTGCCTAAAAGCCTTTCCTTGGGTAAGAACAATATAAAGGTAAAAATATCATTGTACATTTTCAACAGGAAGAGTGAAGTTGGTAAAGTGTGCTTTGAATTAGTGCAATTTACATAGCTCAATAATGGTCTTTCACTTATGGCTTCTTAGTAAAATAATGACCTTCTCCTATGAGTGCTTGGGGACTTCTGTCATTTCCTCTTCTGAGCTCCTTTCTCAAGATGGCAGAAGGCTCTCCACAAAAGTTTAGCATGTGTAATAAATATTTGTTGAAGTGACAGATGCAAGGGGAAAAAAAAACAAAGTCCAAGGATAATGAAATGAAATTCTAAGAGCTTTATTTAAATGTACTTTTTTTGAACGTACCACCTCACTGGGCTTCAGAGCTTTCTCACATTTTCAATTCAACAACAAAGACAATCAGTAATTTGTCTCTACCAACAGAAAACAAAAGCTTCTTGACTACCCACTAGTGTGACTCAAGCAAAACTAGCTCACACTATTTTTCTCTACAAATATCAGAAGATTTTTCCAATGACACTTAAACCTGAGTTGTGTTGGAAGGGCCAGCAGTTGTTATGGAGTATATAGCCATTGGTGGAGTTACTTCCCAGACCATCACTTTAGTCTCACCCATAAATGTTATAAACTAGCCTACAATTAATTTTGCTATAAAACTAAAAATCTAATATTTTGACATTCAATTTTATATATTTTTCATTCAAGTTAGTGGTAATGTGCTCCCATACAGCTAAGTTTTTTTTCCTTTAATAATACACTTTGATATCCACTCAGTGTTTAACTGGTAGATTTTCACATTTAGAAAATTTCACAAAAATTGGTAACTAGAATTATTAGGATAATTTTACCTTACTATAATTATAATGTGGAAGATTTAACCAATATGCGTTTATAGAACTTTGCATCTGATAAACCTTTATGGTATAAATGTAACTCATCACGTGAGTTATTTTAGGACTAATAAAAAGCCCATTTTCTCACTCAGGTTTAGACTTTACAACCAAATTCTACTTTACATTGAAGAACTTAAGGGCTCTAAGTGTTCAAAATCTTGGAAATAATCTAATTCCACCCTTATACAGTTGAAGAAATTAAGGCCCGTAATAATTAATGATTTGCCCAAAACATATCAAGCAGCAGAGCCACGACAATCCAAAATATCACTATTTCCATTAAACCATGCTTAGTACCATCTTAGAAACTTTACTAAAATAGACTTTAATGTACATATATATGAGAAAAACTCTCACTTTAAGTTAAAGGATTTCCATAAGACAATATTATAGGGACTTTGGAACTTATTTAATTCCTATATAAATATTCCCACATAAAATAAAAAAAAATCTCACCTATAATTAACTATACAACCATGTGCTTCTTTGAAGAAATAGAGTAACTCAAACACTAAAAAATCGACTATGCTGGGGAAATTCACCTATTTTGTATATACCATTAGAAAGAGATGTTAAATAAGACATTTTACAATGGCAGAAAACATATACACTGAGATTCCACACCAATCTTTATTTATATTTTGGGGCCTGAAACAAATCTTGTAATTACCTCTTCCAAATCACATTTTATTCTCTTAATGGTGTGGTTTATCCCCATTCCACAAAAACAAGTATGATTAGTACACTAGAAATATTTTTTAAAGAACCTCTTAGACAGTTTTTATTAACCAATCCAGACCAATGATTGTCTCAAAAATCGAATCTATTAATTTTCTGGTGGTGTCATTTTAGAAAAAGACTTCATAATCAAATTATACATTTAATTAACTTATATGTAAGTTTTAGCATTCACATCCCAAATCATGGAAGCCCTATTTTATAAAATATTACCACTCAAGGTAAACATACTTCATTACATGTCAATGAAATAATGAATTCTCTGAATTATCCATAAAAATCTGAAAAACCCAAATATTTAATTATAACACTCATGTGTCTACTAATAATCACACACATCATGACTGTGTTTTTAAAAATATCTACAGATTTAAATGGTAAGAAGCTTGTGTGGTATGGCAGAGTAAATTATATTGTCAAATACTACTTTTGGCTCTAGTTCGTATCTTGCCCAAAAATGTGCATATCATAGCCAGCAGAACTTTTTCTGTAGAATTTTATTTTGAAAATATTTCACTTGAAGATTGATCTAAAAAACATTTTAAGATATGAAAATGTTATACAACTTATCTATTACAAATTAATTGGATAATTCTACAATTAGGTATACCGTGTTAGCTCACCTACATAAAAAATATTGCACACTTTATTTTGTCTCCAGATGTGACTGATGTCTAAACTATATAGAATTCTAAACTATTTAAAAGTTATTCTGTGAAATGTCAACGTTATAAATATCAGAACTAAATGCACTGTAAAAACAACCATTTTGGTAAACATGCATTTATTCACAGTTGATTTATTTCCTCTAGATAAATGCATAAACTGTTCAAAATTATTCAAGAACTTTTGTAGAGGTACAAGAGCACACTATACAAATCTATTTTCTACCTTTGTTTTGAGGAAACACTGATCTTGGCAAAAATCTGGCTTATTTTAAATGAATTATTGCTGGTAAAAAGGCATACTTTAAAACATTTCTGTGACCCGCACCTGCTCTTTTCTCTTTAAAATTTAAAAGCATTTGTTTTCGGAGATTTATCTATTGTGGCATAAGTGAATAATCACATAAAAACAAACCCTGAAAGCAGTTGAACATTAAAATGCCTGTGGAGCCTTCATTTTATCCATAAGTTATAACTGCCTTAAATTGTTAAACCACTCACTGAGCCTAATTTTAAGAAACTGACAAAACCAAACCATTTCAGTGTTATGAAACTGACACAAGCCCGCATAAAACAGTATTCCTCCACTGAGCTGAGGTCATATTATACTTTAAAAATATAAATAAGTATATTGAACTGTGAGTCTTATTTCTATAACAACCTCAAAGTGTTTAAAATATGCTTCTAAAACAGAAGTGGGTAACTGCCGAATATAGTTCCAGACTTGACTTTTAGTGTCAAACACAATCATTCCTTATAAGTAACTCTGATTGGTACACTGGCTTGATTGAATCCAGCAACTTCATTTTACAGGAGTGAACCATACTTTATACACACAGAATATATTACTTGAAAATCCCCCGAAAAGCAAAAGTTTAGAAAGCTGTCAAATGATTTCAAATGAAAACTAAAGGTCTGTTTCTGGCCCTCTTCCATACCCTTAAAGTTGGAATTTGACAAAAATCCATGGGTACAATTGACAAGCTTTGACAAACTACTGAGTTAAAACCATTTTCTTTGGGGCAAATGGGAGGAAGTACCTTTAAAACTTGTTATACAAAGTTCCAGCTGCCTTTTTATAAAAGTACGTTCCTTAGAATAAAATCATAAAATTAAGGTGCAAGAGGTTAACAAAAATGAACTAAAGAGCTTTATTGACATCACAGTACATTCGAGAATAATTTTAAGAACATTACAGCTGAAAGAGAATGGCATGTTTATAGTCTTATTGTGCACTATTTTTTGAAAAAAAAAAAAAATACAAAGAAATCCTATTAACTCGAAGCAGCATTTGGAAAAAGTATACCTATATACAGATAAAAAGAAAATTCTGGTTTCACCTACACAGCCACAATGTGCCTCTATAATGAGACAAGCCCTTAAAACTCATGGAATTTTTTTAAACATCATGGCATTCTTGCCACATCATTCCTCAACGTTTACGACGGGGAGGGGTTGTTGATCTGAAAAAGAAAGGGAAAAGACAAAATTTAAAAATAAAAATGTATTTTAAACTAAAGAACGCAATTTTTAAATAAATAATATTATAAAGGATTTCTAAAATTACTTAAAGACTATGATCATTTATCAAGTACCAAACGGAGTTTATTAAAGAGAGAGAGAAAGGACACTTTCAACTTTGAATAAATTCAGTCAAATTTTTAAAAAATCAGACAAAATACTTTAAAAAGTATACTACCTTGATCGGGACTTAGACTTGTGTTTGCGGCTTGCCTTCTTACCAGACCTTTGAGATTTCTCCATGGATCGCGATCGACTATGTTTAGGCTTCTTAGCCTTCTTTTCTTTGCTACTTCCTGGAGATTCAGAACTGCTCCTTCCACTAGAATCAGAGCCTGAATGTTTTTTACTATCTTTGGTAGTACTTTTCTTACTATCCTGTCTAGAATCATGTCTGATGATTTTAACAGAGATAGAACCACTCCTAGAAAATATTCTTTCACTTTCTCGTTTCCTTTTCAACCTATCATCCTGACCACTGAACTTAAAATCTTTTTCTTCCCTTTTTTGTTTCTCTTTTCTTTTATCCTGTTCACGATCTCTTTCTTTGTCTTTCTTTTTCCTATCTTTATCTATACTTCGACTCCTCTCTTTTTTCCTCTCTTGTTCTTTAACCTCACCTTTATGTTTATGACTGCTCCCACTAAGGTTTCCACGTTGATCATCAATTTTACGCCTATCTCGACTTCTACTGCGACTGGATCGATTGGTTCGCCTATCCCTTGAGCGACTTCTACTTCTACGTCTCTCTCGGGAAGGACTCCGATTTCTCCGTCTTTCTCTTTCAATGCTATTTCTATTAGATCTCCTCCTATCTCTAATCTTTATTCTAGCCCTATTGCTGTCTATTTTAATTCTGCGAGAGTAACTTCTACTCCTACTACGTCTACCTTTAACTGTTGGAGATCTACTCCTACTATGTCTCTTTTTCCTTTTAGGAGAAGAAGATCGAGAAGATGTGCGACTACTACCTGAGCTAGAACTGTATGAAGAGCTAGAGACAGTACTACTAGTACTACTAGTTCTGCTATTGCTACTGGAACTACCACTACTAGAGCTTCCTGATCTACTTCTTCCTTGTTTCTCTTTTTCTTTATGATCTTTTTTTGGTTCTAAAACTGACGTAGTTTCATTTGGAGTTCTTTTCTTTTCATTAACCATATCACCGTCTGTTTCTCTTGCTTCTAGTAATGATAAACTATTTTGCTCTTTATGAATAAATTCATTCATCTCTTTTGTAACCCTTTCAGTTTGTTGCTTTTCTTCTGAAATAGAAAAAGACAAAAATAACAAGAGAAGTCAAATGTATAATGAAGAACTCCCATATTACCAAACTATAACAATAAAACATGCCACATAAGCAATGCCAAATTTTCTAGTAGCTACATTAAAAAAGTAAAAACAGGTAGAATTAATTTTATGAATCCAATATAAAAAAATTATCATTTCAACATGTAATTAAAAAGAAAATACTGAAATATCTTTTTTTCATGTAAAGTCTTTGAAACTTAGCGCATACATTAAACCTACAGCACATTTCAGTTTGGGTTAGCTACATTTCAAAAGCTCATTAACTACATGCAGTTAGCTAATCTCCTGGAGAGTATAGCCACAGAGTATCAAGGTGCAGAGAGAGGTAACGCGTGAGTAAGAAAAAAATAAGGCAACTTACAGGTAGTAAGTAATTTATAGGGATTTTCTGGCTGCAAACTCTTAATAGTTACCTTTCAAATTGTCCAAATAAGAATTTTCAAAAAAAAAACTCTAAGTAAGTGTTCTCTTTCATTATTTCTAGTATCATTATATAAGCTGTTAAGAACGGTACTCATTACAGTATTTTACATATACTTAATTATCTTAGCTACAAATTACTTAATAGTTTTACAAATGTATTTCCCCCATTTCAAAAGTTTTCATTTTAAGAACTTTAACAAGAAATTAAAATACATTAAAATACTTAACTTATGGCCCCTGAAATTAACATCTCCCAAGTTTCCCTTACCTAAACTATATATTTTGAATATTAAAATTAATTTTGATTTTATATTTAATAAAAAATTAAGTATCAGCAAAAACCTTAGTTTCAGTTACATCTCATTTATAATCTAGCCTTGATCCCATCTTTTGATATTTTAGGCTGGTTGAAAAATGAAAATACAGACAGACAAAACTGGACAAAAATTAAGTGAATCTAAAAGATATACCTTCCATCTGTTTATCATGTAACAGCTGCTGTTCTTTTTCTTTTCTCCAAAAAGCTTCCTGTTTTTGCCGGATTCGGTGCCGTAATTCCTCATCATCAGTGTCAGATGACTCAGAGCCTCTGTCACTCCTTTCATCTTCACTGTCTCCTGATCCATAACCACCCAGTCCACCTGTGTGCATAAAGCCCAGTCTATCATATGGAAAAATCATTCTGTGCACTAAAAACTTCTTAAGGTTCGAGAAGAAAGCTCATTTCTTTTTTTTTTTTCATTGCATTTTGTTGGAAGAATATGTTTATTCGGGGTGGGGAGAAGTATAAATTCCAATACTAAAGGAGTTCATAGACCCCCTTCATGAAAACTGATATAGTATCTTTTTCCTTCTGCAATATTTCATATATTTGTCACCATACACGATAATGGTTTTGTTTTAATGTCCATGCTAACCAATAAAATCATTAAACAGGGCAGTAGTAACAAAGCCTCACTAAAGCACAATCAATTCAACTACCTTAAAATATATGAGGATCCTGAAAACAGTTTTACAATGTACTTTTCCTTTGTTCAAAGCTTAGAAATCCCAGGTAGTATGCTAAGTATTTTTCCCTAAAAAAATTAGAATACTGTAATTCTGACTGTACAGAAAATGGTACAATGCTAAAACTACTCCCCACCCTGAAATGACCTAAACAGTAATAACAAAATCACATGGGCATTTGGTTCTAGCCATTTCTACTGATCCTCACAAAGATTAATTTGAAATCAAGATATGGAAAAGGCAAATTCAAGTTTTTATATACCTGATAATATATCATGCAAATAACAAATTATGAATACATCATTACTATTTTAATGTAAGATAAACCCTTTCCTCTATGGTAAACCTGACTTGCTGCAACACAATCTAAATAAAGGTCCTTAAAAGCATTAGTAGATAGGTTTCCCTTTAAGGCATGTATGCAATAATTTTGAAAGTGAGCTTAAATACTGTCATGGCTAAATTATAACTTGCCTTAATAAACTATGAGTGTCACCACATTTATAATAATCTCACTGTGACTGCTACAGTCAAAGAAAAAAATAGACAAATGTTTTAGAGACTCATATAACCCTAAGACCTAGGTTTTATAAACTGAGTAGGAACAGTACAGTTTCAAAACAGAACATGTAGAGACAAGGTAAGTATGATTTTTCCCTCTAAGGCCCTCTCACAAATAAGGAGAACACTTACCGAGTCCAGTGAGGGAAGCCAGTGCACTGGACTGTGCCAGCTGTTTTGCAGGAGCTTTGTATCACATCAACAACAGGAACAACATGTTAACACAAATAGCCACGATTTCATAGTCATGAGAGTCTATGGTATTGTTAAATCTACTACTATGGCTGCTTCTTGGGGAGAGAAGAAACATTAAAAACATAACATTCATTTTAAACCAGTAGCATGTCTGGCCTTGAAAGTATAATTCTGATGTGAGTTGAAATTGATTTATAATGAGGGGAAAATGTTGACAGCATATCGTTATTTTTATTTTTGAGGTATGGTCCATAATTTAAATTTTGCTTTCAGTATATTTTTTTAAGTGTTACTAAAAATACAGGGGCTGGGTGAGAGAATCACTAGCTTCTGAAGGAATTTTAAGTGGTAAACTATTTGAAAACTCTGAAGGTTTATAATTCATTAGTAAAACCAAATTGCATTAGAAGTCATACACCAATGCCATGGTATCTATAAAAAAAAATCAGGTGAAATAAATTGAACATCAAGAATTTTCCACAATACATTTTACAAAACAACAGTATACTTAGCAATTTGTGCTCAGATTGGATAAAACAAAAATACTTGTATAGTTGTAATATGTTGTCTATAAATCTAAACTTTCCCAAAGAGTAAAACATGCAAGAAGAAAATATTCAAATCTGCTAGTATTTCAACAAGGACAACAACAACAAAAAAAGGTCCAAAACAGCCACCAAAACCAAAACACCCCCAGAAAAACAAAGCCAAGAACACCCACAATATACCTTTAGTTGCTTTCCGGTGGGCATCTTTGGCTACGTAATAAATTTCTTCATCTGTGACATCCAGGAGAATTTCAGTCAGAAGCATTTTTGTCAGTAACATCTAAGGAATATACATTGTTTCTAATTTATTATTATAGTTAATAATATAGTTTGACATTTTCAAAAAAATTACAAGGCAAAACCATTTTATAAAACATTTTTAGAGAAGAGACCACATCAGTCATTCCAAGGAACAGAGTATCTTGAAAACTATTCTAAAATATCAAAACTTTGAAAAAAATTCAAAATTATATGGATTAAAGGAAAAAAATGAGTTTATTTGTATAGAAACACTGAATTCTAACTCTAGAGACAAAACATTTAAGAAGTCCCTATTAATAAAACTTTCCATAGTTGAAAGTAGCCTTTCATTTAATATTATTAGTAAGCAGTTCAACACTAGTTTCTTAACTAGCTTAGGAATTTACATTAACCGTCAGCTCAAAGTAAAATTTGAGGGGAAAAAATAAGGAAAAGGCAGTTATTTCATTTTGTGAGATAAAAATCCCTTTTTCTTGATTGCTGTAATATAGAGTGCAATAGACTTGAAACAGATCTGGATCCTAGCTCAGGTTTGGCTACAATGGCTGTTTCAAATGTAGACGACTAGTTAGTCTCTTCACCTCTCCGAGTTCCAGATCACAGTACTCATCTATGAAAATGACAGTACACTGAATCAGCATCTTCTAAACACATTCCTAACATCAACTTGTCTTTCAATATGAGAAATGCAGCATTTTTTATTCCAATCTCAGAAAAATGTCAAAACACATTACAGATATTAAGGCTTTGAGAAGTCTTGCAATGAAGAAATTTGTTTACCTATGTTCCCACCCAGTGCTTCCTGTACTTATTTTTTATGAAGTCTTTTAATCTTTTCCAGTATTCAAAAAACACACTTTAGAAAATAATAATGTGTTCTCTTGGGTCTCATATAGTAAAATATTGTTTAATTATAACACTGGTATTAGGAAATGTGCTTAACAACTGCTTTATAAGCTGTAAGTTCATACTGTAAGTATAACCTGCATTTTGCAGACTTTATTGCCCAGCAAATCTGTAGGTAAGTACATATAAATAACTGTTTCATGAGTTCTCAGTTTAAATGTTCAAGATACCAAAGTTTTAACAAATTATAAACAAAATAAATCCTGTAATATAATGTTTTATGTCAATTATACCTCAAAAAATTAATTAAAAAAAGAAATTTACATTTTTACCATTTGATACTCTTTCTCTTCTTCAGTCATTTCTGGCTCACTTTGCTCTTCTTGAGGAACTGGAGATGGACTTCTGGTGACTTTGCCACTGCTTGCAGCCTCAACATTTTCAGCATCTTCATCTTCCTCATCACTATCCTAAAAAAGATAATACGATGTGTACCCCAAATTCATGTTTATAATGTAAAAGTCACTATCTTGCCCATTCTATTTTAAAACTCTAGGTTAAAAGTTTATGAATCAAATCTATAAAAATGAAATTTCTTTCTAAACTATATTTTTGTATGACAGATTTCATTTGGTAATTTAAAGTGTAACCTGAGAGGAAATGTAAGATATTAAAATTTAATTTTTTTTTCAATTTAATTTTTCCTTAGTCAATTTTGAGCTCATTTTATAATAATTTTGTAATAATTAATTTTATATAATTATTTTATAAATAACCAGAAACACATCATGCCCAGAGGCTGAACTAATATCCATTATATATGGTGGCTGAAACGAGTGGTTTGTAGAACTTTGGGTAAATAAACCATAATCATATTATTCAGTGTTACTTTTCAGCTGTAAATGTCAGTTATTTACTTAAAACGAAAAAATTGTAGTCAGTTTCCTGATCTCAGCTGGCCCTGAAACTTTGTGAAATTTGCTTCTTTTTAGCTGTATAATGGACAGCTAGATTAGAAATGAGGTCTACTTCAGATGGAGGAAAAGCCAGCAGTTTGTCTGTCTCTGTATGAGTGTTAGGTTTTCAGTATCCAAACAGTGTACCTTAGAGAAGGGACTCTACCTTAGGTAAAGTAGTGTTCCAGTCACATTGCTAGCCTACTAAGTAATAGTTAGGTGACCACCTAAATGCTACTATGGCAAGACCATTTGAACAGAAGAATTCATTGTAACACAAGCCCAAAGGCATGTGGAAGGAGAAGGATAATCTCCAATTTTTTGACCCTAAAAAAACCACCACATCTGGAAATCCACTGTTTCAAGTAAAGATTTTTTAAAAAATTTTAAGGTAAACTCTAATAGTGGTAGTCTGTTGTTTTATTTCGTAACACCCAGAACAAAGAACACATCTTTGGCATGGTTCTTTTGTAAAAATAAAATAATTTATGGAATTTAAGCAAAATAAATGCCTTCTTAAATCTAGTTACCTTGCTGTCCTTGAAATTTATTTTTGACGCAGAAAATGGCCTTAGAAGGAAGACCTGTTTCGTAAGTGGGATACCAGCCAGTGCTATGACTATCCTACCAGCTAGAAGCACATTATTGCTAAACAAAAAAATTTCTAAACCACTCATGCCATCTAACTGGTGAAGATTTAAATATTTAAAATTTTGTTACTTTCAGTGCTTATGTCAAAAACTATAAAGGCTATTACATCCTCTGGTATAAGTATTTATTTCTTCAAAAAGGGCAGATGTATTCTCTGCCCCTAGTTTTGTTTCATAAACGACCATTAGGGAGTTAATTATACCAAAACAAAAGATTAGAGATGTTGCCCTGGCCAAGTAGCTCAGGTGGTTAGAGCACTGTCCTCATATACCAAGAATACAGATGTTTGTCAAGGTAAGAGCTATCTCGCAACCCACTGAGTAATTCCTCCCCAGGATGAAATGTTTCATAAACTCACTGCCCCTGTCTCCTTACTCTACCCTCAGTAACGCATACATAATATAAAAACATAATCCCCAAAATAGCCGCAGAAAGTAATCCCAGGAACATTACTGTAATACTTTTCGATAAGCTAAAATATTTCATTAACCTTTACACATAGATACCAAATGGAGTTTTCGGTTCAAGGATTTTACTTACAAATTTACTTCTCTGAGGTAAACGAGGGCCATCACCTCCTTCAGTATCTTCTGTAGTCTTCTTTTCTTTTTTGGACAACTGTGAACGTTGTTGTTCCATTCTTTCTTTCTCCAACTTCTTTTGCTTTTCACGTTCCATTTTTTCAAGACCTTCCCGAATCCAAGCTGGAAGAGTCCTGCGTTTTACTGCATCTGTTTCACGTGGGAAAAAGAAAATCTATAAGTCAGTTAAGTAAAAATCAAATGCATGTCCTTATTCCTAAATTTCAGCAAACTGGTGAGTAAATTTTTTAGAAAAAGAATGCTGGTGCCATATGAACACTTGTAACAAATACTATATATACATTGTCCAGCCAAACAGTGGTAACAAAAACAGCCCGTTAAACATCATGCTTTTCTTTAAAATCAATGCTTTTAATAGCAGCATGAACATTTATGCCAAGGCACTGTGAAAGCACATTAAACCATCATCTCAACCATAAAAAAAGCTGTATATGACCACTACCATTACTTGATCTCTTTTGCAAATGAGAAAACTGAGACCCAAAGAAACTAACTGATATGTTCAAGGTTACAAAGCCAGTATGTAGTGATATTTCAGAAACTTACACTACACTGCTTCCTAAAATGTTGAGACAGAAGAGAGTCAAACACAAGTCTCTTTTCACACTGAAAATTCATTTTAACAAGTATTCCATATGGAATACTTCTTAATTTATTCCATTAAGTTATAAAAGAAGCAATAATCTCCCTAAAATATCCACTTTGTGGTAAGGAAAAGCCTTAAATGTTCTGGTCCATTAACTGCTTGCCATATTTCAATTTCCAGATGTGTAGTAGCATAAGTATATAATTTACCATTGAAAATTAGATTTAATACGTTACTTAAAACATGAAATTTTCACCATGACCAGATAGCTCAGTTGGTTGGAATGCTGTTGCAGTATGCCAAGGTTGTGGGTTCGATCCCTGGTCAGAGCACACACAAGAATCAACCAATGAGTGCATAACCAAGTGAAACAACAAATTGATGTTTCTCTCTAAAAATAATTTTTTTAAAAAAATGAAATTTTCTGCAAAATACTTATGGAAAGTGAAATAATGAAAGGAAAATTAATCTGGCAGCAGTGTAACAGATGAACTAACAATGGAAAGAATCCAGAGAGAAAAAGTAGGTGGTTTTGAAAGTGGGAAAGGCTCAAATACTGGCATAATGTAATAAAACTGTCAACAGTGAAAACAGAGATCAAAATGTTACAGCCATGATAAATTTATAGCTCATCACCAAATCTGTTTAAAGATTTATTTTAAAGGAAATTAAGCTTCAAATATTTTAGACAAATCTCTTCTTTGAAATGTTAAGGTTTACGACTATAAAATAATAGGGTTTTAAAGTATCAATTCCTAAGATACCAGAGGTATCAGAACAACTTAAAAAATAAGACATCCTTTTTATATGATCAAGAAATCATGCCAATTGTGGTTCACTAAACTTAAATAGCTACCAATTTGTGGAGGCTCCTGCTTCACAGGAAGTGCAATAGGTGAACGCTGCCGATCCCTGAATGATGATGGCCTCTCTCTTCGATTCTGGGGAGGTGCTGGAGGTCCTGGAGGTCCTGGTTGCCAATAAGGAGGATGAAATCCACCTTGCGGTGGACCAAAAGCAGCCCCATGCTGAAAGAGTATTGCAGTTTATTTTTCTTCACATTAATACACTATACACTCTGGGACACACGTGTGTTATGAACTGGGACAGTAGAAATCCATGTGTGCAGCAAATCCAAGAATTCCACGGTTCTAATACCCACTGATATTTCTGTAGCCCCAAGAACCTAGGCTAACTTTTCTTAAGAAAAAGACTTTCTGCTTAGGTAAATGCAAGAGCCATCTAAAATCCAGCTGATACAATATTTTCAAGAAACAGAGAAAATGATATATATGAACTTTTTCATTCTGCATCTGTTTATAAACTAATCCTTTCACTACCAAGGAATCAAAATGTCGATTTTTCTGTAACTAGAAAATACAGGAAAAAAATTTTTAAATCAATTTCAACTTTCGAGTTCTTGTGAATTTAGGTTATTTCTATAATCTTGCCAAGAAATATCTTTTAAGCGAAGATAAAACTCACTGGCTCATTATATTACATTTTTTTTTGTAATTTTACCATTTTCAGAGGCTTTCCTAAGCCAGTTGCCAACAGAGTTGTCTTGTTAGCAAGGGGATGTACCAAGCAAATGTGGTACAAGTAGAAGCCCCCTGCCACAAAAACTATCATATCTGTATATCAAGTATGAGTATGCAACAAGTATGTGAATATACATGAATAGGAAGATTACTGTCACAAGATGACTACTGTTTATGTTTGTTACCCATATAATTAGTGAAATATTGTATGGTTTTCTTTCTCAAAATTTTAAATTATGATAGCTTAGTTTATAAGGTAACAATTACAATCAGTTATTTCAAAATGACACCTAGCATAATTTCAGGGGAGACCCTGGCAGAGTGGTTTGAGAAAATAATGACACTATTCCCCATAGAGTTCTATGTCCCTAGGAATGAATTAGATGCTACAAAGGAAATTATGTGCAATTCCATTAACAAACATGTCATGTTAGAATGGAAGAAAAAAATAATAGAAAAAGTTGTAACTTTACACAGAAAGCACTGCATTTAGAAGATCACTTATGTTCTTCATGTCTTAACCATAATTTTATTGATAAATAATGTATTCAACTGCTGTGCATTTTCTAAACTTTATTGAACATTTAAATATACCATTTGAAATTGTAAGTTAGAAAACAAAACATCATATAACTCTTGCACTTACACATCTTCATTTTATCCAAATTTTTCCCTAATGATCCTTTATATCATTTTCCTAAGCAAATCAGAATAAAAATCTAAATGATTTTAATACTCAAAAACTGGTAACTTTTATGAGACATAATATGCACTTATCTGCATAAGACTGAAAAGTGAAACACATATCTCAGGTACTCTTGGTGAGACAAACTTCCAAAGAATGGATTATGTGCACATCTACAATATTAAAGCAACAAAATATCTTTCACCTGATAGTCAAACTGGTTCACTGGGCCCACTGCAAAATTATCGGGTGGTCCACCAAAGTTGTGATTGTTCTGGTTAAAAATATGCCTGTTGTCAGGGGCAAATTCCCCACTGTCCTGACTGTTGCTGTCTTCGGAAGGAGGAACAATGTCCATTGGGCCTGGTGTTGGTGGCATCCATGGCTGATCTGGTGGGGGATGTGGGGGTTGCTGATGCATTCCCCATTCTATTTAGGATTTAGGCATAAAAACATTCAACAGGGAGTTACAACAAAATCAACACATATTTTTAAACTCTCAAGAAAGCTAGATTTTTCAGTAAATAAATAAATATAAAGATTATGACTTCTTGGTCAAATTCCTTTTGTATATCTTAAAAATAAGCAATGAATTAATCTAAGAAATAATTCAAGTGAGCTAATCTCCACTTAATTCATATCCTACACAAATGGAAACCGAATGCCCAAAATTATTTTTAATAAATGTAACAAAATTCAAAGCAATTTTTTGTTGTTTAACTTTTCTATTTCTTTTCAGTAACACCACCATAAAAATAATGCTTAGGGATTTTATATAATTTCTTTCTTCCATGAACACATTTATCCTCACAACATCCCTGTGAGGTAGGAAGAAATCAGGTAGTATTTTTGCCAATTTCAGGAGGGAAAATTGAGGCACACAGAAATAAATCACTTGCCAAGGTCACAAAGAAAACCAGTAGAGCAAAGTTGGGGAAATGGAAATGCTAGGGTGGGTCATTTATAAACTTGAACATGGGAACTAAAACATTTTCAAACGTGAGGAAATTTTGCATGGCTTCAAGAAAACTAGAAATGAACTACCTTCATAATATCAAATATTAAAATACTCATTATACTTTTAAAAGTGGTATTAGAGAATTACTTTGAGTTTTCCATTCTTACATTGAGAAACAAAAATAATTATTAATAGGGAAAGGGAGATATGTATGACTTCACCAATCAGCACACTTAAACATAAGATTCCTCTATAAATAAATTGAAGTGACTATTAAAAATAATAGTACAAGTCATAGAAAACTGAACTAGCATCAAGGAATCTATATCATACTGTGAAGTAAAAAAGCAAGCAAGCAAACAAACAAAACAGATAAAAACTTATGGAAGATCTTCACTATGTGAAAAAAGGGAAGTAAATATGGGTGGATGATAGGGGCAGAGTATATTTGACAAACTAACTTGTCACATAGTGACACAATTTTTCTTTAGAGACTAGACATGTTTTGCTCTGCCAGTCCTGCTTCTGAAAAGGCCAGAGGTTGCAACAGAGAGACCATAGAATGCTCTCTTCCCTAGATGCCAAGTGAGGTTTCCAGTGTTCCCAGCCCCTGTCAGCCTAGGAATGAAGAACCAAGAAAAGAATCAACTGAGTGCCACAATGCTAGCAGACTGAGTACAGAATAATTTTAACCACAAATTTCAAGGTCAAATCTAATTAAAACTGCCTATTCTTTAAGGATTAATTTCAAGAAGTCACAAGACTAAAACAAATTAAACAATTTAACTTTAATCTTTTTTATTTTACAAAAGTCCTAAAATTTGGAAAACATAAACAACAAACCTGGTTGCCACATCCTGTTAAAGTTTGAATCCCCTTGAAAATTCCCATGATTGTTTGGACCAGATTCCATTGCAGACATATCTTGTCCATTTGGCATCATTCCTGGTGGTTGTTCTACCATGCTTTGCTGCCCTGAAGCTTCTCTTTGGGCAATCCAAGCTTGAGCCAATGCAGCCCAGTCAATCTGGCCTAATGTAATTTAACACAGAAGAATTTAGCGTTCAGAATGTAGGAGCTAAAAGAACAGTGCCTCTAAGCAAAACAAGCATCTCAGCAATTCCTTAAATATTACTGAATGTTTGACTGAAAGGATGCTCAGAAAAGAATCTATATTCAGGGTACAAAGTAAAATAAACTACTTGAGACCTTCTGAAAATGATTCCACAAAAAATACTCTTAACCAATTATTTTCTAATATTAACTCATAAAAAATTTATCCTCTGAGCCTTAGTTTATTGAGGTTTTTAAAACTCTTATTCCTCTTTTTTTTAAACAAATTATTCCTCAAATAGGTCCTCTTCAGGCGTACATTGGACCCTGCAGACCTCAAGTGAGTATAGCTATCTATCCCTGTTTCTCCTCACAGCCATCCTTCTTAAGCTAAAGCTCCCTTCTCGAGTCAAACTACATTCCTAACAACTTATTAGTCATTCTTCAAAATTCATTGTCCCCACCAATTTAAAGTTCCTCCTTTCCTTCTCAAATATCTATACTTAACATTTTAAGATCTAATATTTAATATTAATAAAGGAAAAAAGTAAAATAAGTTTTTCACATCTCAGTTTAGTAAAGATTAAAAAGATATTCTTGTACATTTTGATGAAAACATAAATCGGAATAATCTACATGGAGTTAAATTTGGCAATGTCTAACACTTTCCAAATATGCAACTGGGATCTAACAAACCTAGTTCTTAAATTTTTTTCCTAATAATTGGACACATGAATAATGATATACATACAAAATTATGGTAATTATTTTTAAATGTAAAAACTACCATCAATCAATGATCCAAAAGTAGATCAATTAAATTATGGTATGGTGCTATAATGGAATATAATGTAGTTATTTAAAAAATAGGTTAAGATTACGCCAATAAAGGTAAGACAGTGGAAGAGTCATATCAATGAAACCAAATGGGGTCTCCCTATACTTTTTTCTATGTCTGCCTATGCTTGAAATGTTGTATAATAAAGAGAAATGACTTAGCATACTACTCATTAGTTAACTATTATCTACACAGAATTATAATATTCAGAATTGACAATCGAAGTATGCTTTACTTACATTACACATTTAAGAAAGACTTTCTGATCATGTATCATAGAAATGTACACTTGAAACCTCTATGACCCTATTAACCAAAGTCACCTCAATAATTTCAATAAATTTTTTTAAAAAAGGGGAAAATAAAAGACTTTCCGCCTTCCTAGAAAAAAAAAAGAACTAATCAGTTTTAAAGATTAGATACTGACTATAAAATGATCCAACAAACCAATTCCAATTCTATCTCCCTTAATCCCACTGAGTATTTCCCACTTATCTCTATATATTTTTCCCTCGCCCACCCTCCAAATTCAGTTTGTGTCCTTACTTGGATCCTGCTGGTGCTGGAATGACTGCATCCACTGTTGTTGGTTCAAGGGCCATTGCTGCCAAGGCTGTCCTCCTTGATCCCACATCCTGGTTTTAAAAATATATTGGATTTTCTATCTTCAACAAAATGAACACAAGTTAAAGATGAGAATGAGAGTTCTTTAATTTTAAAAGCTCACATAGAAATTATTACATGATGATACATTTATGTGATTAGAGCTCTAAAATTCTGGTCAACAGGTTGCCAGAGGCAACTGGAATTTTTAGGTTGGCAAGCAACAGTAGAAAATTCATGTTAATACTATTGTCAGAGTATGGTAGTAAGCATCAAACCAATTTAGTTCAAAAAGGGAAAAAGCCCAATTTCTCCCAATATAAATTTCTGGAAATATAATTATTTTGAAAATAGTAAGAACAAATGTGATTTAATCTCCCCCAACTAATATTCCTTGAAGGGAGTAACCAAATAGTTCTGGCTAATGAAGGAAAACTATTCCTTATAAATAATTACAGCTAATGAATGCTTAAGGTAGAACAGATTTAGAAAGCTGCTCTAATGCCAAATCTAATAAAACAATTCAGACAATCTTAGAAGTAATGGGAAATCACAGACTCAAAGGTTGTCAAAATATCACCCTACAGATTTAATAATCTGTAATGGTGTCTCCTCATGAGATACAGTATTATGTTCCCAGAATCACTATTTTCACCAAAAATGTTTAACTGAATCCAACCAAGCTTTTTGGTCTCAATTCTAGTGTGAAGGAATGATAAAGGGACAAAGGAATGAGATAAACAGTATCAAAAGAAACAATCAGATAAATCCAGAAGGTGAGACAGTTTACAGGACCAGGTTTCTTCAACACAGAAAAGATTGGGGGAGAGAACATATGTTAGTAACTATTAAATCAAGATAATGGGCATGGGGGAGGGGGTTGTCACATGAGTTTACCTTTCCGTAAACTAGTTTGAAAACTCTCATAATGAAAATTTTAAATTCCTACAGTCCAATATCTTTGTACTCTATCCAACACTGATATACAACCTTGTTCAAGAACCCAACGACACATCTGGTAAGCAGCATTATGTTTCTTCATTTTTGTACCCCAGAGCTTAGTATAAAATAAAGTAGGCATTGAGTAAATGTTTACTAAATAAATCCTTCTAGACTGACCCTTAGCTCTAAAAATAAGACAGAAGCCTTAGTACTGCAGCATCACAAAAAATACAGAAGCCAGATAACAAGGAAGTAAGAAACACCACCTCCAATGGAGCAATGGCTATTATAACTCAGGCTCTTAGAGTTTACAGCCCCAGTCTTTGCAGCACTTTCAGAGTGTTTTATAATTCTATCAATGGCAGATGTTGACCTCTCAACTGAAGAACACTGAGAATTAGGGAAGATGCATTCCTTTGTTACCTTGACTTACGAGTCAAGTGCATTTATGGTCTAGTTGCATGAATATAGTCTATTATAATGGCATTATTAAAACACGGCGAAATAGACACTAAATAACACCACAGTTGAGGTCAACAACTGAAGCTAAATACACTTTTTCTTTCCTTTTTTTTTTAAGTAAAGATTTTATTTATTTATTTTTAGAAAGAGGGGAAGGGAGGGAGAAAGAGAGAAGAACATCAATGTACAAGAGATACATCAATCAGTTGCCTCTTGCACGCCCCCAGCCAGGGACCTGGCCTGCAACCCAGGCATGTGCCCTGACTGGGAAAAAACCGGCAACCTTTCAGGTCACAGGCCAGCATTCAATCCACTGATCCACACCAGCCAGGGCTAAATATACTTTTTCTAATCTCTCTTCAGATTTTTTTGTTTCTCTCCCCGCTCTCCCCCACCCCTCTTTTCCAACTATACCTTTAAAACCCTTTAAAAGATAAATGACTCATTATAGCCCTTGAAAAGTAATTCCAATTATAACTTTAATTAAAAGCTAACAAACCCAGATGTAGGATCAACTGCTATTTTGACTGACCTCAGAGGTTCACCTTCTGTTTAAAGTTTAGATTGATTCAGACTACAACTTGGAAGCATAGCAGCAAGATTACTTATGCCCTGGGGGGGGAAAAAAAGAGTATAAGTATGCTCTTAAATTATGAAAAATTAGCATAAAAATAAATTCTAGGAATGTAACATGAAAATGTGATCATCTCTAAATTAATTTGGAACTTTTTCTTCCTTTAACTATAATAAGAAAGTATTTATCATTATAAGGTTAAGGGAAACAGGTACATCAGAAATGAGAAGGCAACACTTCTTTTAAAATACCTTTTTTATTTACTTGGAAAGATCATTAACAATACAAAATAGCATCAAACAATTTAGGGACTGTCATATATGCTGAGGGGAAAAAAAAATTTGAAAAGAATATCTCATCCACCTGGTGTTAACTCAAGTGATACAAGTAAGGTAATAAAATGCATGAATTTAGATTTCTCTATGGAATTCTAAGTTTAAAAATTAACACCAGCAAGGTAAGAACAGCCTGTCCCTCACATGGATTCATTTTCTTCCCAGCAGATTAACAGCTTTTCTAAAGTTGATAGACAAATCTATTCATCTGCTTATATATTTCAAAAGATACAGGTCAGCGTCCTCCACAAAGCAGTTACTAAAGACCAAACAAATAAATGGTCTGTACCTCCTTCTTTCTGTTCACTTTTAAAGGTTAATGACAGAGAAGCTGTTGACCTACATTTATGAGAACCAAGAACCTGGCATAAGCACAGCTTGGTATTTTCCAAAGTTCTAATGGCATATTAGAATTCAATACATAGGCTTTTCTGTCGTAGGTTGTAAACTCATACAATGCAGGCATTATAACTAGCACTATACAGTGCCTACTGGAGTTGTAAATAGATATGCACTTAGTAAAGCCACCTGAATGGTGAAAATGATGTGTAGACTCCCTACCATCATTTCCATTACATAGATTTACTTTTCTAGAAATCCCTCTAAACAAAGTTTCTTTTACATATGTTTAATAGTTTTTATGGATAATTTTTTCAGTTCTCCTTTTAAGTTTTCTGGTCATCACTTGTCACCTAGACTTCAGAGCACAAACTCTGGTTCATGATGCTTATCTATACCCCCTCACTAGCTGTGTGAATGTGGGCAAATAAACTATTCTCTAATCCTTGGTTTTCTCATCTGTAAAATGGAGGCCACAATAAGTGTCTATTTCATAGGGTAATTGTGAGGATTAAATGAGAAATGCATGAAAACTCAGCATAGGAAACTTCAATAAGCATTGGTTAGTATCACCACCAAGACTGTCTTAGCATCATTTTTGATAGCTTTCCTCAAGTTTCCAACTAGTGGGGGGAAGGCTGCTCAAGCCAACCCATTTCTACTCAATTCCATTTTTTTTCCTACAAGCAATCTAAGACTTTCCAAGGTTTCATTTTATCTTTGGGGGAAAAGAGCCTTTCTGTCCCTATTCTTCATTTGGAAGCCTTTGTAATTTAAAAAGAGAAAAAAATAAAAATTTCCTACACACACAGATTTTTACTTGTATACTTTCAAGAGTTTCATTTGTATTACTTGTAGCCATTTTTCTGTTTGTTAAAACCAACCACTTCTACTTTTACTATGTTTTCCAAAGCTTTTCTCCCCCAAAGGTTTTTATGAAAGCTACTATTCAAATATAGTGTTTGGTACACTTAGGCTGAGAAAAATATGGAGAGGTGAAACTAGAGAAATCTTTTGGGAAGAAAATGTAATTCAGGATCACGGTATTCTATAAAAATCGTGACCCACCAATTCCACTTCAACGATTTAAACCACGGATGAAGATACTATGTCTTTCAAACTTAAAAAACCTGCAGTGTGTTTCTAACAGTGAACATTTTTTAGCGACACTCATCTAAAGGGCAATCGATAAGAGTGAATCGTACAGTGAACTCCTATTCAGCCATACAAAAGAATGTGGTAGACTCTTTTTGTTAAGTCCTCAACCAAGGATGTGTTTTTATTAGTTTTGGAGAGAGAAGAAGGGAGAGAGACAAACATTGATGTGAGAAACATCAATCAGATGCTTCCCCTACATGCCTGGACCAGGGATCGAACCCACAACCTATCTATGTGCCCCAACCAGGGATCCAAATCGCAACCTTTTGGTGTATGGGATGATGCTCCAACCAACTGAGCAACAAAGCCAGGCCTGATACTTTTTTTTTTTTAGTAGATTTTATTTACTTATTTTTAGAGAGGGGGGAGGGAGAAAGAAACCGAGAGAAATACTGATGTGCCAGAGATATACTGATCAGTTGCCTCCTGCACACCTCCAGCTGGGGACCTGGACCGCAACCCAGGCATGTGCCCTGACTGGGAATCGAACCAGTGACTTTTCTGTTCACAGGCCAGCACTCAATCCGCTAAGCCATACCAGCCAGGGCAAGCAGACTTTTATATGCTGAAATATATTGATGTACAAGTTGTATTAAGTGTGTGTGGGTGGGGGGAACTTACATGACAGCACATGAATGATACCACTTGAGGTTTTCTTCCTTTTTAAGAATGCAATTTCATATAGAAAATTCCTAAATTACATAGAACTCTTAAAACTGCTAAGCTCACCCTGACTGGTGTGGCTCAATGGAATGGGTGTCATCTCGCAAACTAAAAGGCTGCCAGTTCAATTCCTGGTCAGGGCATGCCTGGGTACAGGCCAGGTCCTGTTCTGGGAATGTATGACAGCCAATGGATGTTTCTCTCACACATTAATGTTTCTCTCCCTCTCTCTATCCCTCCCTTCCCCCTCTTTAAAAATAAACAAAAATAAAATTTAAAAACCCTGCTAAGCTCTGGAGAGCAAAAACAGAGGTCAGGGAGTTTTGATATTTTATTTTACATTTTTCTGTATTCTTTGAATTATTTTATCATGAGTGTATTTTTAGATATAAATCTACAGGTTTTTCTTAAATTCTTCTTTACTGATTGATTCGAGAGAGGAAGGAAAAGACAGAAAGAGAAACAGAGAGACAGAGAGACACAGAACAAGAGCCCGCATGCACACCAGCAGGGCCTGCCGAAACCTTTATTACAGACTTCTAGGCTGGAGAACTGTAAAAGAATAAATTTCTGTTGTTTAAGGCCACTCAGTTTGAGGTAATTTGTTAGAGAATCCCTAAGAAACTAATACAACCAGAAATGACCGTCAATCATCTTACGCATCTCTTAGAAGACTCTATATTTGAACACTGCTTAAAGAGTCTTAAAAATACTTGTTTAAATGACAATCATAGACAATCACGTGATGAGATAAATGAAAATTAAAATGTGCCCTGACCAGCGTGGCTCAAATGGTTGGGTATCCTACTGCAAAGCAAAAGGTCGCCAGGTAGATTCCCAGTCAGGGCACACTGCCTGGGTTGAAGCTTCAGTCCCAGACTGGGACTCCTGCAAGAGGCAATAGATTGATGTTTCTCCCTCCCTCCCTCAATTGCAAAAATCAAAGAGATACGGAAGCACATCTATCCTCAGATGCACATGGTCAAATGTTTCTCACATCAAGGACAAAGTTTAGAAAGTATGAAATGCAATTCCTCTTCTCCCCTGCCCTTTCAGTCCTACATACCAGGTGACCGGCTTCAAAATAAAAAATTCATTTGTTCAACTCAGGTTAGGTGGAGATGACACCAGTAAAAACCTTGTAACTATTTGAAATGTGGCAAAAAAAATTTTTGCTACTTTATGCGACGTGCATTTTGAATGCATTTTGATATATATTGAGATACTTTGCAACTTACAGCTTAATAGAGGTATTTTTTTAAAAAATCAGAGAATTGGATGCGTTGGTTATAGATACCAATAAAAGTGATATCTGAAAAACAAATGAGAGCAAGAGCCTAAATTAACAACACTTTAGTATATATCTTGGTTCTAATACCATTCTACAATAAAAGGAATCAGGGATCTTTAGAGAAAGAGCTGGTTCTTAGACCTGGCGCATAAAAAATGAGTCTGGAGCATCTTGTAGTACCAGAATGTGGGAAAGGAGAGGGAGAGGAAAGTATAGAATGAGGACATGTCAGAGGTGCACAGCAGACTACTTTAAGAGCTTCTGAAGTCCAAAGCTACTGCCCCCCAAAAAAATCAGCAAAAAATAAAATAATACTGAATTATCACACAAATTATGATATCAATATCTAGTCCATGCTGATATAAATAAATGATGAATAAATGGGAGGGAAGAGATAAATCTTCCTTGCAAAGTTCCAAATAAATTATGTAGATACTCCAGCCAAAAGGAGGGGGAGCATAACTCTCCACTTCTTTAGCGTGAACTGTGTGAAGGGACTTCCTCCCAATGAGCACGGTATGGAAGGGAGGAGTGGATATGGGAGAGTAACTTTACAGTGTAGAAACTTGACAAACACTACTTTGAGCAGGTGATGAAAGTCAATCACAATGTGGTCTGTCTTTCTTATATTAACGTATCATTGATACGATGCCTCTGTGATCCAAAAGCCCTAACACCAGTCTTAGGAGGAAAATATCAGAGAAATTTCAATAGCAGGGCATCCTACAACATACCTGACCAGTACTCTTCAAAACTGTCAAGGTCACTGTATTAGTTTGCTAGGGTTGCCACAACAAAGTACCACAGACTGTGTAGCTCAAATAACACAAACTTATTTCCTCATAGTTCTGGAGGTTAGAAGTCTAAGATCACAATGTCAGCAGGATTAGTTTCATTCTGAGGCCTCTATCTTCAGTTCGTAGATGAATGCCTCCTCCCTATATCTTTATATGGTCTTCCTTCTGTGTCCTAACCTTTTTGTCTTATAAGGATACCAGTCATAATGGATTAGGGTCCACCCTAATGAACTTACTTCTTTATAGATACTATCTTTAAACAGAGTCACATTCCAAGGTAATGAAGTTAGAACTTCAACGTATGAATTTTGGAGGGACACAATTCAACCTGAAACAGTCACTGAAAACAAAGAAAGCCTGAGAAACTGTCACAACCAAGAGAAGACTAAAGACACATGACAACTAATGTCATATGGTATCCTGATGGTATCCTGGGACAGAAAAAGAACGCTGGGTTAAAACTTAGGAAATGTGAATAAACACAGACTTCAGTTAATAATAATATGTCAATAATATGTCTATTAATTGTGCAACAAATGTATTATACTAATGTACCATTAATAGCAAGAGAAACTGTGTGTAATGGGGGTTTGGGGCATTTATATAGGAATTCTGAACTATCTGTTCAATTTTTTGGTAAGTCAAAAACTGCTCTAAAAAACAGTCTATTAGTAAAACAAAAATTAAATAGAGTCCCAAGAACACCTTAAAAGAACTGATTTACTATTACTTTCCCTATAGCGCCAGGACACTTTAAAAAGTAGTCCAACGAGTGAAACTTTACAGTGTTCTGGTTTGTTTTATTGTTTGTGCCTTGCTGCACTCCAATCAGAAATTCCAAGTTTATTTTGGTCTTCTATTAAATAACCTCCAACAATCAAAATCTGTCAAGTGCCCGAGATGTTCAGATGACAGTAATATCCACAAGATGGTACAACTGAAATACTGGACACTTCCTTTTCCCTATTGAAGCTTAGCAGATGACGTCCATCACCGGATTAAAAAAATACAAACTAATGAACGCAATTAGAGTTTACAGGACGTTTCTGCCCTCGGCTGCGCCTGCGTAGTCTGGGCTGCACAGCGCAAAAGGTCCAAATCCGGGCCCTCCGCCTCCTCCGCCCCGTTGCATCCCCCTCCCGACGGGGGGTTCCCACTGCGCACGCGCAATGCTTAACGGCGGGTCAGGAACCCAAGAATCGGTCCCTTCTAACCCAAGAAGAAACTCCCACAGTTAAGAGGAAGGGATCGTGAGCACTCTCTTTCATGGGAACATTTCCTTTTCACCGAGAGTACCGTTTTGATTCACGCAAGTCAGGCGGACGCCGCGGCTTTAAAGGAATGAGGGTCCAGCGGTCGCGCCAAACAGCGTACGCAGCCTACGTGTTTTAAGTTATGCTACCTCCGCCACAGAAACCAAGAAGGTTGTAATGGCCCGGCAAGTCCCCCCGCCTAACTGTTCTCTAACACTTACCCACTGTGGTTCCAGAACACCGTTGTCGCCACTGTTCCCGTAATACCTCTCCAACGCTTTCGATGCTTCTACTTCTTCAGGAACAAGACAAGATGGCGCCCGAGCAATCTCACCCGGAAGTAATAACAATAACATCCGCTGGTCATCTGAAGCCACACGGTCCCAGCATCCTGGACCTTGAGCCTAGGACAGTACCCGGTTAACATGTTTCCACGCCATTTTTGTTGTGGGCAATACCACCTGGGCTCTGTAGTACACACTGTGGAAGTGTCTGAACATTCCTTCATATTAATCTTAACGTAGCCAGCGCCGTGCCTGACCCATTTTCATCTTTAATTGGGCAAAAGCCAAGAGTTTAAGTGTTCTGTACAGAGCGCCCTGAAATTTTTGCCTTAACGACACGATCCTCCTCCGAGGGGAGGTATGTTCTTCAATAGGAACACTTTAGCTTCGGAAAAGGCGGCTCAGTTTCTGGAGCTAATTTCAGACTACGGAGGGACTAAAGGGTCAAAGTGAACAACTGGCAGGTTGCTCACAGCTCCTGGAGTGGCATTTGAGGCAGGCCACGGTCTGGTGCGAATTTCCGGAGTGTTCCAGGCTTCGGTTTCAAAGAGCGCGACCAAGAGCTCCGCCTCAGGCATATCGGACATTAGCGAAGTGGCCAATCTAAATGGTAGCAATGGCGAGGACCTTAGATGACCCCACAGCGGTCACTCTCTTTGTTAACCTCAAAACATCGCGCCCCCTTCCGGAGACACTTGCTCAGCTGAACCTCGCCCAGCAAGTCCCGATATTTCGTTCTTTATCCCTTGACTTTCAAAGGAAAAATGATGGGGAAGTCCAGTTTCTATCTCTTAACTACAAGATGGCCTCCCGAAAGGACTTAGGCGCTGCAGTTCATCCTTTGTATGATGCAGTTCCTCTACTAGAATACTTGATTTCATGGTGTTTTAATATGAAACAATGTTCAAGTGTTAAAAAATACCAATCAACAGGCTGCAATCTACAAGTTACAAAGTGCCTTGCTAGGGAGTAACATGAAACTTTTGTGTGACTGAAGAAAATGCACCAAGTGTCTAAATTGTTTCAGTGGGAATTGTGCAAAAGGAATACCAAATCGCAGTAGAAATATTATAGTAAGAGTACAAATACAGTTACATGGCTATATTGGGTTGGCCAAAAAGTTCATTAAGTGTTTCGGTGAAATAAAAAACACGTTTTTCATTTTCACTTATAATTTATTTGGATATTTTTAGTATGTCGGCTCTCTCCTGCATGGTATAAGGTCGATTGTTCTCAATGTCTTGATTTGCTCGCTAACAACTTCACCTGGCCTGCTGGACTGTGGAGCATGATCCAGTGAGAAATCTCCAGAATGAAACTTCACAAACCACTTTTGACACATTTGATCAGTCACAGCACCTTCTCCATATACTGTACAAATCTTTTTTTGCATTTCAGTTGCGTTTTTATCGTTCTCTAAATACTAAAGCATAATGTCAAAAATGCCATTTATTTTCTTCCACCTTCAATATTAAAATGACTGCACAAAAATTCACCAATTTTGGTAAGGTTTATTTGAAATGCATGCTGATATGACAGCTGTCACAATACAATCTAGCAACATTCTTTCAAATGAGGTTAAGGGCAATTAAGTGCTACTGCAGCCATCTTACAGAAAAACCAAACGAACTTTTTAGCCAACCCAATCGAAGGTAAATATAGATGTGAGAATACAGGTGCCATTTGCATAAAATTCAGTCTTCCTTAATAAAGCACTTGAAGCTCAGATACTCCTAGATCAGATTTAGAAGAAAGTTCTCAGTAGCTGAAGATCTGTTGGCCAAATTCAAGTGGCCCTCCAAATAAAACTTCGTGTGGATAGAAAAGTTCACCAATTACACCTGGCAACACAATGCTGTGAGTGCATGAAGGTACTACTGAAGGAAAAGCAAATTCCATTCCTTTGACCCCTTCCCCTACATTCCACTTCTCTCTCTCACACACAACTACACACAGTATAATATGCTTTTTAAAAATCACTTTATTGATGTTTAATTTTGCTCTGTGATTTTCTTCATTTTTCAAGTTTTCTGCATAGGTGCTGATTTTCCAGTTTATTTTTCTGAGAAACATCCTAATCAGAAAAACATTCTTTCTCCGTAAAACTTGATTGCTCTAGTGAAACTTTCATATGTTCCTGCTTCCTATAATTGCCCTGCATTTGTTTGCTTCTTTCCCTAGTAAAGTTGAAGCAATTTCCTGATAAATTTTTTTCACTTCTGCTCTTCAACTGGCCAACATACTGCATTTGTTGAATGGTTGAATTAATATTTTGAACAATAACCCCAATATGGGCCAATAATTTTGGAAACCCATGGCTAAATTTTGTTTCTTGTGCCAGTTTCATGAGACATTCTCAGCAATCGCTGTTTTCCAGAACAGGAAATGAATTTTACAGCCCCATTTCCCTTTCCCTCACCACTATCACCTAGGATTTCCTCCAAAATGTTATAATCTGAAGGAGACTCAGGCACATATATGTATTTCAACACTTAACTTTCTCAGAATGTTTTTGTGTTCAAGTGTCTGAGCAGTTGCTATGTATATGCTCTGCTCACTGTGCACCTTGACCAGAGTGTTCAGCAGCCTCACCTTGCCAGTCTCCACCCTCTTATGACTAACAATTGGCAGACTTTGTAAATTCAGTTTAACTTCCCCAGTTTTCAGAGTATTTGAAGTACAAAATTCAAGGGGAGGATATGTTCAAATTAGTACTTTGCATTATTATGGAAACAAGTTATCATCAAGGTAAAAATGGAAAAAAAATTAAATGAGATGTTCCAGATACAGAATTAGGAAATAGTCCTTCTTCTCAAAAGTTAAGCCTTTACAATGTTATTAAGTTTCATATTACATCCATCTTAAAATTTAAGAATAAAAATTATTTAAAGCTGCGCTATATACATGCAATAGGGTATCAGCCAGCCTTAAAAAGGAGTGAAATTCAAAGACATGTTAGACAAGGATGAACCTTGAAAAGATTATGCTAAGTGAAACAAGACAGACACAAAAGGACACACTGTATAATTTCACTTACATGACGTACCTAGGACAGGCAAATTCATACAGACTTAAAGAAGCATAACAGTTGCTGCAGGTTGAAGGAAAGGGGGATTGGAGAGTTATTATTTAATGGGTACAGAGTTTCTGTATGGGATTAGGGAAGGGTTCTAGAAATGAATGGTGATGCTTGTACAACATGAATGTACTTAATGTCACTGAATTATACATCTAAAATGGTTAAAATAGTAAATTTTATTTTATATATACTTTTTTTACAATAAAAATACGAGGACAAAGAATATTTAAAGCTAATCTGCTACAAGCAAATTATTACAAATTACAACCCCTTTAATTCTTAAGTACTATTGTTACTTAGGCATCTCCTAAAAAGTAGTATCTGGCATAAGGAAGTTTGAGGAGGATATAAAATAATAATTACTTCAGTTATTTAACAATGAACTAAACGGGGCTTTTTACAGGTAATGGCCATTTAGGCCAGATTGGAGAAAGTAAGGTAAACCTACTATGTTCACTGACTGGCATATTTTTACCTAAAATCTTTTGTGATTCAAACTACTGTACCGTTTCTATACTTAATTCATTTGCATGAGGTTGTAGACATTATTAGTGTTCACCAATATCAGATGCTCCACAGACATAGTACACAGAAGATGGCATTTTTCTAAGCCCCCTTAAAGTTAGGGAGGACTCTGTGAATTAGTTCTGGCCAATAAGCTGTGGGTTAAGTGATGACTGTCATTTCTGGACCTGATCACTGTCACATCAACCGAGAAGGCTATGTCAGATAATGCAGCTAAGGTTGGTATATTCGTTGTCAGCCTGGATCACTGAGTTACCTCATGGGAAACAGTGGCCAGAAAGAGCCCCAAGTCAGCAAAGGGCTGCTTGATCACAGAAAAAGCTGCTAAGATTCCGAAGTCATTTGTTAACACGCATTAAGTATAGCCTGTCCTGACAAATACAGGTATTGGTCACAAGAGTTGATTGCTACTCAAAGAACCAAAAATATGTGGCATTAGTTTAGAGGTTTGTTAGTGTACACAGAAACCTAATATTAGAGGCTAGAAACATGGCACTTCACATTATACAGTGGCAAAACATTTGATATAACTCTAACCCACAATAAACTGGGAAGCAGAAAATGTACCTAGTGAGTTTTGAACAAGGGAAAAAATTGCAGACAGTGTGTGTTGGGTGCTATTGGATGCCTTTTTCAAGGTTATAAGAATGGAGCTCAGAAAGGAAAGGTTAATTTGGAAAATCTAAAACAAGGAAACAGATAACCAGAAATTCTGAGCCTCACCTGGTTATATTTTCACTTCCAAGAAGTAGAACATAAACTTGAGAAAGACTTTAAGTGACAAAGGATCATTAAAACTCAGCCTGGCAGCAAAGGTCATAACTAAGAGCGTGGACTAAATATTTATTTTGGAAAAATTTTCAATGGATTAATTAAGGATGTGGAATCTTACTTTTTCTTCTCACTTGGGAAAAATAATGCCTGAAGATGAAAATGTGGTTAAGTGAATGGCTCTTCCATCACAACTTATAGACAGAATATACCTGTCAAAAAGTCAGGAGAAGTATGGAGGTAGGAAATCAGAGAAACATAGTCAACATTAAGAACTATTTGTCTTAAAAAAAAAATATGGTATGGTTACTGGCATGTAACTGACTGGAGGCAGATAAAAGGCCTACTTTAAGACTTGTACTGAAAAAGAAAGTATAAACCTCAGCTAAAAGCACTAGTGACTATTCTGAACTTTAAAAACAAAACAAAACGTCAGCCCCAAATTATCTTAGGAAACAGATTGAAAAGTTGTACAATTCCCAAGGATAGCATATTCCTCAACTGCGATTCAGTTGTAGTCAAGGAGTACTATAAAAATAAGATCCTTTTAGATGGCAAGTATATTGGAGAAGGAAATTCTTAGTTAACAGAAAAAAGGTCTAACCACAAATATTCCCCCTGCCCAGGGTGAGAGACCCTAATATTTCTGTTTTTCCCCTTCTGAATATTTATTGTAGTCATGGTTTCACCATTCTACCACTGTACATTAAAGATGTGGAAATATCCTTTTGGTTCCTGGGTCTCCAGACCAGTGGGGCAACATCCAGACCTGATGTAGCACTCTTAAAGAGCCTGCTCTGATGGAATAAAACTACCTGGATGGGATTTTGGGGCTGTATCCCTTGAAAAGGAGTCATTGCATTCCATGTATAGAAAGAAGACGGAGCAAGTATTTTTTTTTAAATGTGTCTGGTTTAAAATTTTTTTTTTAACTTACTGATTCAAGGGAGAGGGAAACATTGGTTTTTTTTGTTTGTTTTACTTATTAATGTCATTCACTGGTTCGTTATTTGTATGTGCCCTGACCGGCAATTAAACCTGTAACCTCGGCATATCGGCTCAATGCTCCAAACCAACTGACCTAGCCATCCAGAGCAGTGAGTATTTAGTGAATAGTGGGTGAATTGTGAGAGACTTCTGGTGCACTCACACATCCCATCCTTTTTTTCCTGAACCCATGGGAGACATACTCTTTCCTACCCATCCTTCCCATTCTTACTTGCAATTAGACAGGGACATGTGATTACTTCTGGCCGGTGCGTTGTGAGTGACACATCCAATATGAAGAATTTAATGGGGAGGCCTAGTATTGAAAGAAAGAACCACAAGACAATCTGCCTGGATTACAGAATAATCAGCTGGAAAATATTTAGTTGCCTTTACAAATAGCCAAGACTCACAGTGAATTCTGGGTAAGAAAGAAATAACTTTTTGTTGTTAAGCTACTAGGATGCGGAGTTATTTGCTACTGTGGCATAACCAGTTTTATCTATATACAAATGGCAATGCAAACATTTTGGACATTTCTGCTTTAGTGCAACTTAAAAATATATGAAAATGGTCTTCAGGGGATTCATGAACTTCTGAAATTATATACAAAAATGTGGCACATATATTTTTCTGAGAATTTTCATTCTCATCTTATACACTGCCATTAGCAGGAGAGGGCCTGAAAATTAAAACCCTCCTTGTCCCCCAAAACTGACAGCTTCCCTTTGGGACTAGTAGGACCTTAATTCCCATATGGCTCTGTAGGTAATGTTGTTTGATTTTTCTCCATATCATTTGCAATTTCATTTACCTTTTGTTTACTCATCTCTTTTTAAAAATTTTTAAAATTAATTTTTAGAGAGAGAGGAAGAGAGGGAGAGAGAGAGAGAGTAAAAGCATTGGTTAGTTGCCTCTCATATGTATCCTGAATGTAGACTGAATCTGCAACTGAGGCATATGCCCTGACCAGGAATTGAACCCACAACCTTTTGGTTTATGGGACAATGCTCCAACCAACTGAGCCATACCAACCAGGGCTCCTTACTTTTCACTTCTTAGAATGCTTATTTCCTTATTTCTTGGAGATAGATGTGTTTCCTTAGTTCACTGCTATATCCCCATTGCCTACCAAAGAGCAGGTATTCAATAAATACTTATTAAACTATTGAAAAAAATTGAAGATAGGCTATAACTTTCATCATAATCTCAAAGAGCTATATGACCCAAAAAAGATTGAACACAAATAAACATACAAAATATTACGTAATAAATTATCCTGCCTAAATAACTCAAACATTTTGAGAAACATAGGAAAGGATGAAGACTTACCGATGGTAGATACTGAAATCTGAGTAAAAGGGTCCCATTATAAGATATTTTATTCTGAAAAAATGTATTTCTAAAATGTGAAGAATATTTGGAATATAGCTAAGTAAGTAAATACAATGTTGATAGATAAAATATTGTCAATAATGTGCAAAAAAAAAACCCAAGACAAATCTTAAAACAAAGTAAATGAGAATTTATTATGCATGTTTACACAGGAATATCAAAATAATGCTCAATAAGTTACATAGCTATTTTCTAAAAACACTGCAAAAAAGTAAAGATAAAACAGTAGGAATGAAGTATTACCCAATGTTACTCAAAATTAAAAATATAGTTATCTTTTAAACAGATTTGAATTGATGAATTTTACATTAACCAAAACATTTTAAATATCTAAAAATAGTCTTTTTTATGTATTATATAATATATAAATGTTCAATTTTATTGCACATAACATATTTGGCTTAGGCTTATTTATCATGTAACTTGCAGATAAATAAATTATGAATATAAATTTAAGAAAAGTAGGCAGGATGTTATTATACATTACAAATATTAGATGAAGGTGATACATTTCACAGCTTAATTTTCAGGAAATCTTATTGAGCTATTGTATAAAATCACTGAGTAAAATCACATGCAAGCAAAGAGTTATTAAATATTATATTGCAAAATAGCTCCGTTGGCACATTTAAAATAAGAAAATAGGTAGCAAATACTTGCTCTTAGAACCGACACCAAACTAACATTCTCCTTGGCCACCCAAAAAGGTGGTCTTCACAACAGGTTTAAAAACATTAAATGACAAAATTGTAAATACAGAACATATACTTGATTATGTCAAAAATATTCACATAATTGGCACATAATCAAAAGTTTATCACTTTAAACATGGAAAAACTAGGAGAAACTGGGATTAGACATAACTTCTAAACCAGATTCAAAATAAAGTTAGTGAAACTTCATTGTTTTACTTTTTAAATTCATTTGGCCAAACACTATGGTCAGTGTTTTGAGGATCTGTAAACACTCTCACTTATTTGTACTGTTTCCTGAGGTCATCTGGAAACTATAGTTATTATAGTAGCTTCACAGTTTTGTACCCCTGCAAATGTGCTTTGGAAATATTCAAAATAAAAACAAAAATTTAAATGCAGACCCATGTGTAACTTAACATACCTTCTCTACTTACAAAGCTATCATTAGAAAATTCTTAGGTTTCAAAATAAAATTTATTCCATTATCCACAAACCTGGAAAAACATTCATAAATCCTAGGCCATAAAGAAAGATTTTAGAATTATCTCATTTAACATTATGGAAATGAAAATAAAAGTATTTTATTTGTATGTTACTTATGAGATAATATCTACCACTTACATAAGCCTCTCCTATTTAAACCGTTGAAACAGTGTCAGCATAGTGCCTGTCCAACAGCAAATACACGTAATGAATAAATGTGAAATTACAGCATAAAAACTACTGCAGTACTTGAGTACCAGTGTAATGTTCTGAAGCTACAATGTTAGCACTCACTCAATGAAAAAGCAGTTTCACTGGTACTCAGAATAAAGCTTTAAATATCTCCTATTAGATAAACACAGCACTCATGTACTTCCTGGCATCCGATCCATAAAATGAGGAACTAGGCACTTTCCTTGATTCTGGCCCTTACCTATCACTTACCATCTCTGACTGTAGCTCTGTAAGGGATAAACCAAAAGGGAACAGAAAAGAGTGCTCTTGTTTCCCTTCCTTTTTTCTTTCTTCCTCCCTCCCTCCCTCCCTCTCTTTCTCTCTCTTCCTTCTATCAATGATAAAAGAAGCAGGTGACCATCCAAGGAAACATTCATGCCTCTTAATAGTATCTTTTCTAGAAGAAAAAATGAGGTTACAATATTTACATTTGGGATAGTGAACAGTAATTGTCATTACTAAGATGGCTGACTTGAATAAAGAGATTTAACTAGTATTTCTCAAAAAAATCACGGCTCAGGTACTGAAATCTTCAATGTTAATGGATTACAATTAAACAGAGATACTAATTTAAGTGCTGTTTAAGCTCCCTTTTATAGGACAAACAAATTGAATTTGCATATTAACCCATAATATAAAGATATATTTCTCCATCATTTCACAGTTAAAAATAAAAAAATACTACTATTGAAACTGCAACAGCTTAAAAATAGAATTTGTGCCATGACATTTTTATATTATTCATTTTGTATATTATTACCATCTTTATTAATAATCACAATTCCATTCACCCATATATCAAAAGACAGCACAAGTAACCTTGATAATGTTATATATAACCAGAGTCTTGGTTAAATACTTCCTCAATTATCTCCAGCCACTATTCATATCCTTCCTTCCCAAGAGGAGAATTAATTAGGACTAGGCACTTACCCAACACCTGCCAGTATGTAGTAGCATTTGTTGGTACTAATGATTAGGATGCTTTGGTGCAATAAAGTGACACCAAAGTAGCAATTATTTTTAAAATTTAAGCCAAGTAATAGTAATATTTTCCTGCCAAATTTTGACAGTTTAATAATTTGTATTCTAGGGGAAAAACCATCATATTTTTTAAAAACCATCATATCTTTGCTATTATTTATTTAAAAAGAAAGTCACATATGTCAACTTCATGCCCTATTAAAATAAAAGCTAAACTTACTTAAATTTATTAATGATGCTCGTTGAATACAAAGTGATTGCAAAACACTAAAACCATGATTAATATTTACTGATCTACAGTACTAAAAATGTATTATACTTCCCTGTTAAATATAGTACGAACATAATTATCTATCATTTACAAATTTAATTTGGTAATTTATATTTCAAAGTTATCCTATTGCTTCATATGGATTAACAATTTCTATTTATCAATTCTGCATGTTAGAATTATCTATAATTATAGTTTGACCATGGCTAATTACTTTCAAATTATCCCCAACTCTACCATGAATAGGTTATAAATAGTATGTTGAGGAAATATTTCAGTATTTTTCTAGTTCACAAAATCTCAAAGCAATAAGCTAATCAATATATTATTTGTAAGTCCATATTACTGAAGTTATATTTTATATGGCTGAATCATACAAAATAAGACAAGGTCAGTATGCCAACTGTATGAGTACATGTGACAGCAATGTTTCCCACACAGCAGCATACATATACCACTGGACAGTCCTGAGGTGATTTTAAGTAAAGTGCTACATGAATGAACAATCTTTCTTTAATAGTTACATATTTATTTTAAGGTTTATTATAAAAATTTCAACTAGCACATAAAATGTGGAATATGCTCAAAACAGGGCTATGGTTAAAAAAGTAAAGCTAAAAAATAAGGTTAAAAATTTTAAGTATATAATGGCATGGGAGGTTCATATATATCAGAAAGGTGGTGTGTGACTCATATTTGGGTAACACTGTGTAAGGAAGGATCTGATTTGGCCAGCGTCATTTCTGAATGTGTATAATAATAATCCGCAACATAAAGGCATTTCCTCTACTACTATAAGTTCTAGTTTTGTCCCAGGACAAACAATTTTTTAAACATTTGTTTACATTTATTTTAAAAATATATATTTGGAAGCACTGACTAAATTTATTTTATTTTAAGGGGATCCACCAAAATGGTAAAAATGTTCAGGAGCATCTGAGGGACATGCTATTCCTACAGAATAGACTACAAAGGCACAATGCATTGCAGCATTTAAATGAAAGTGTTCTAAATAATCATTACCCTTAATAATTAACAAATAATTAAAATATTCTTTCATAAAAAAGAAGGTACGCTTGTGCACTAAGTGCTCTTGATTCTGGAACCACCTGCACATAAGTGTCACTAACATGGACCCACTGGCCTGCTGATTCACTATCTGGTTCTTTCAGACCTAACAAAAGAAAACAAAGGCATCATTTCACAATACGTATGTTCTTAGTCTACATTACAAGCAATAATATATTCATCACAATCTACATTTATCTAATGCTAGATCTTATTGCATAAGTCTGTTTTTTTCCTGTTTCTTCTAAAAAGAATGAACTGTTTCAAAGCATTGATATTACTATCATCTTACTTTAAAAACCTAGTGAAATATTAGATAACCTTGTAAATATGTATTGTTTGAGGAAAATAATTTTCACTAAAATATAACAAAAGAAAAAAGCAATGTTAGTTTGCTGATCCATAAGCAAAGTCAGCAAATTTTCAACTCCAACTCTATTCTGAGGACCTGATAGGTCTTCAAAAACTTTTGGTATTGTTAAATAAAATGCCACTGCACTGCCATACATGATGACTTAACACCTTGAAAAACTGTCACTTCACATCACCTACAAGGGTACATACAGTCTTATGATATTTAAGATTGTTGAGATTAACAGCTGAAGGAGACAGCCACAAAGAGTAGATCCCTGGAAGTCTCCAACAGACTGCCTAAGGTCAGACAGGGATGACATCTAAAATCATCAGAAGCAGATCCAGAGAGTAAAAACAGCGGTCTCCTACCATAGAAGTTCACACCACAAAGTCAGGGGATCAAGACAGATCAATTTAAGAAGCAGAAGCAAAAAAGAAGAGTCTCACAAATAACGGGAAGACAAACAAATACATCCCACTCGAAGGGAAAGGAGGAATCCCCAGAAAGAGAACTAGATGAAATAGAAGCAAGTAAACAATCAGATATTGAGTTCAAAACAACGGTTCTAAGGAAACTCAATGAGCTCAGTGAGCTCAGAAAGAACTACAAAAAAATACAGGGAAACTATGAGGAACTTACTGCAAACTATATCAGCATGAAAAAGGACACAGAAACTACCAATAAGAGATAAGAGGAAATGAAGAATACAATTTCTGAGTTCAGGAACACAGTAGAAGGAATCAAAAGCAGGCTAGATGAAGCTGAGGACTGAATTGGTGAGCTGGAGGACCAGGTAGAAAAATAGAAAAAAAGCTCCCAGAAAGAACAAGACAATGAAAAAAGACTCAAAAAGAATGAAGAGGAATTGAGGGAAATGCAGGACAACCTGAAAATAAATAATATCTGTATAATAGGGATACCAGAAGGAGAAGAGGATGAGGAAGGGATAGAGAACATGTTGGAAAAAGTCATGAGGGAAAACTTCCCTAATTGGAGGAGAGAAAAAGCCACATGAGTCCAGGAAGCACAGAGGGTCCCATTCAAGAGGAACCCAATGAGGCCCACTCCAAGACACATCATCATTGAAATGGCAAATACCAAAGACAAACAGAGAATCCTAAAGGAAGCAAGGGAGAAAGAGGTAGTAACATATAAGGGAGCCCCAATACGGCTAGCAGCTGACTTCTCAACAGAAACACTGCAAGCCAGAAGAGAATAGCAAGAAATATTCCAAGTCATGAAAAGCAAAGGCCTGCAACCAAGACTGCTCTACCCAGCAAGGCTCTCAATGAAAATGGAAGGTGAAATAAGGAGTTTTCCAGACAAAAGAAGGCTAAAAGATAAACCTCCACCACACCAGCACTGCAAAATATGTTAAAGAGGCTGTTGTAAGAAAATGAAGAAAAAGAGCCCACAAATACCCAGTTCCTTTCACAGTTGCCAATACTTGATATTACCAATATTTTTTCATCTGTATTAACCTGATTGTGACAATGATGTGTTCATTATTCCTTTATTATTTGTTGAAACTAAACCTGTTTTTGTATATTTCTTGCCTATTTCTATTATTTTTAAAAAGCTTTAAGTGACTTTTTGGTATTCTTTATCCATTTTTTGATTAAATGTTTGTAGAATTTTTTCCCTAAAACCACCCCAAACAAATCATTAACCCCTTTTTAGATGTGTTGCAAATACTTTCCTATTCTATTATTTGTCCTTTAACTTTTTTTATACATATATTACTATACAGTCTTAAATGTTTAATATAGTAATATTGTCAATATTTTACTTTATAGCTTCTGGGTTTGAATATTTCAGGGTAGGAAAAATACAATTTTGTATTTTCTCCTAAAACTCCTTAGATTCTACATATTGATTTTTAACTCACCTGAATATTTTTTGTATAATGTGTGAAACAGGGCTTTATATTTGTTTTATTTCAAGTAATAGTGGTCATGCACCTTATTTGTTGAATAAGCCTTATTTTCCCCATTGATTTGAAATATCAACTTAATCATATATTAGATTGTTAAGACAGATACATACATTTGTTCTAGAATGCTCATTATATTTCATTAATCTATTTGATTATTCCTGTGCTAGTGTCATGTTGGTTTAATTGCTGAGACTTTATAATGGTTTTAAATTTTTCATTATTTTATAATTAACTTTGACATTTAAACAATAGATAAAATCAATCTGCATTTAAGAAAGAAAGAAAAAGAAAGAGAGAGAGAGATGGAACTCCTACCTTTTGCGACACCATGGATGGAATTTGAGAATATTAAGCTAAGTGAAATAAGCCAATTGATGAAAGACAAATACCATATGATCTCACCTATAAGTGGACTTTATTCAACAACATAAACTAACGAACAAAATAAACCACAGGCATGGAAACATGGAGCAGACTGAAAGTGACCAGAGGGGATGGGGAAAGAGGACAATGGTGGAAAGAAGGGGAAGGCTCTAGACAAAGAACATGTATGAATGACCCATGGACATGGACAACGGAATGGGAATTGACTGTGGGAGCAGAGGGTGGTGGTGGGATGGCTGGAGGGGGAGAAAGGGGGAAAAATAGAGACAACTGAAATAGAATAAACATGACTTACAAATTTAAAAAACTATAAAAAATAAATTTAAAAAAAGATTGTTTAAGACTATCTAGTACTCTTAAATGTGTTGCTCACTTAATATTAACAAAGTAATCCACTTAAGTTATCCATGAAATAGCTTACCTTTTCCAGAAAAAGAAGAATAAATTCATTTGTTTAAAAAAAAAATAAACTTAGGATAACATACCAGGTATAATTTTCTTTCCAGTGATATGTTCCAATAACTTCCTGGAGGGTGTTCTCACTTTCACATACGCAGTGTAATGACCTCCTCTCATTGAGCCACTATGCTCCACTATGCCATACAGACCATAGAGAACTTTCTCTCCCGCACTTACATTCTTTAGACAAAAAAGCAATATATAGTGAAATATTACTGTAAGGAAAATTAAGTCAAATGTACATCTTACTTAACGTAAGAGAATAACATATTAAAAATTTTCCACACATATTAGACTGGCAGAATGCAAATACTTGACAACCTCTTCTGTTGGATGGGCTGTGGGAAAAAGGTATTCACACACTATAGGTGGGAATGTAAAGGAGTACAACCCCAACACTGGAATATTTAATGTTATCAGGCTAAACTACATATGTATTTCTCTTGGATTTATCAGTACTATTTCTAGGATTCTATCTCATAGGTACATAAGCAAAATGTAAAAAGATATGCACCACACTACTAATTGCACAATTGTTTGCATTATCAAAAAACTGGAATAGGCTCAAATGGCCATAAATTGAAGACTAGTTGAATAAACTATGATGCATCCATACAACAGAGTATTATACTGCTTGAAAAATGGAGTGCAGACTATCTCTAAACACTGCTTTGAAATAATCTTCAGAATATAATGGTAAGAAAAGGGTAGAAAAAAACGATACATATTGTAAGCTATGATTACTTAAGAGGAGAAATCCATATATACATACCTATCTTTTTATATTTTTTAAAAAACTAGAAGTATAAACCATAATTTTTTAACAATGGTTATCTATGAAGGGAGGGAAGAAACAGGTGGAACAGACATGGAGAAAAGCTACACTTGTTTAAATTAAACTTGCTTTGTACATTTGATACATTTGACTCTGGAACTTTGTAAATATGTTATACAATTATTAAACAAAATCTGAAAAATTTAAATTTAAAAAATAGTCCCTAAAAAAATCTAAATTAAAAAATTAAACAAGAATATATTCTGTTGGTGGCATAATCATTCAGAGAGGAACCACTAGGGTCATGTCAGAAAAACCCAGAAGCCAACTTAAGTGGCTTTCAGAAGCCTGCAATATCGATACGTTAGACAAATATATTAGAGCATGAATAAAAAGAAAAGTGTAGTAAATTGAGACATATCTAATGTGTTTAAATCCATGAATTCATAATCATAAATTAATTGGTCACAGTTTGAGGATGCTAGTGAATTAACTCATTATTCTGGAAACTGGTTTAAAAGAGGGGTAGGGAAAGAATCGAGCATTTACCCTCATTATTTTATTTTTATTTTATTTATTTTATTTATTTTTAGAGAAAGGGGAAGGGAGGGAAAAAGAGAGGAAGAGAAACATCAAGGTGCAAGAGATACACTGATTGGTTGCCTTTCCCATGCCCCAACCTGGGGACCTGGCTCGCCACCCAGGAATGTGCTCAGACTGGGAATCAAACCGACACCCTTCCTGTTTGCAGGCTGTCACTCGATCCACTCAGCCACATCAGCCAGGGCTACCCTCTTTTCTATTAGAACTATATCATAAGATAACTAAGTAGGTGAAAGGAGTATCTTTATATAATAGTATTCTAGCTAATAAATGAAGAAGGAATGATAGAATTAGAATATCACCATTCTCTAATTCTTAATGAACTCATGAATCTAACATTACATCATTGGTTGCTATTATAAAATGATAAGAGCATTCTGTGCCACCTGATTAAACACTCCCTATGAAATAGCCTTGCCAGAAAAAAATTAAAAAATAAATAAGGAACATCAAACCTAAATCTGTTGAAGCCTCTCCCGATCCAACTATCCAGCTACCTATTTGGAGTAAATAAAGATGACAGAGGAACAATCATCAAAATCTAAATTATGGGAAACTACCAGAAAGATAGCCCAGTTTCTTCAACAAATAATTTACAAAGAGGGAACTGAAGGGGAGAGAGAAGGAAAAGGGTAACTGTATATTAAAAGAGACTAAAAGACATTATCCAATTATAATGTGTAGTTCTTCCTTGGATATGAATTGATTTATGATATAATTAGAAATATATACACTAAATGATATGAATTGTTCATTTGCTTTAGTGAATGGTATTGTGGTCACGTAAAATTGTCAGGAGTGATTCTTATCTTTTAGAAATACATAGTGTATATTATGAATGAAATGATGCTTCAGCCCTAACAGGGTGGCTTGGTTGGTTGGAGAATCATCCCTGTACACCAAAAGGTTACAGGTTTGATTCCTGGTCAGGGCACATACCTAGGTTGCATGTTCGATCCCCAGTAAGGACTTGTACTGGAAGGCAATTGATTGATGTTTCTCTTTCACATCGATGTTTCTCCCTTCCTCTCTTTAAAATCAATAAACATATCCTCGGGCAAGGATGATAAGAATAATAACTATAATGATGATGATGATGATGACGATGATGATGATGGAGGAGAAGGCAGAGGAGCATGTGGATGGGGCAGTACTGGCCATGTATCCAAGGTTTCAGGGCTAGGTGGTTGGGTGCTAGAGGTTCATTGTACTGTTCTGTCTACTTTACTGTACATTGGGAATTCTCCAAAATAGGTAGTTTTAAACAATGTTTTCATAAATTTAATACAGAGCTTGTTAAATTTCACATTTACCACATTATCAAATTCTATCAATAATGTTAATAATTGACAAATAGTGCTGGTATTCCACAGATCAGTTCAACTAGATTTACTAAAAAAATTGCATTTAAGATATTTTTGTTTTGATTGATCAATGTATTAAAAATATTAAGTTCAATAAGCATTCTCTTACATACCACAAAACCTAGACTGCTAACCAGTAATATGAACAGGACAATATTTACCTCATAACTGTTTGGTTCCCTCAAGGAAGTCAAAGTCACCTATTTCACTTACACAGTTCCTACATATAAGTGCAAGAGATAATAAACCAGTCTGCTTTCTATATCTAATTTTTAAAGTTTTACTAATTTTAAAGTATCATACTCAGCTGACAAGCACACTATTCTCAATAGTGTACCTGAAATGGAATAAAAAAACTATGTATTAGTTTATTGATTTGCAAAAGATAAAGAACTTCACAAATGCTAAAACTACTGCCATGTAAGCATTTCATTCGCAAGGACCAGAAGAGGGCACACCATCTGCTTACTTCTCTCAGCCGCTGCCTGCTTCGAGAAGCATTTACAAGCAGCTTTAATCTTCACGACCACCAGGTCTCATGATTTATGCATCTTTTTTGACTTTCCCTTATCTATCCCCCAAAAGACAAAAGTCATATTCAGTGGGTTAAATGTTCCACATTTTAGTGATTTACCTTCACTAACTATAAAATTCCCTTTCACAGTAGTTTATTTAAAAAAGAAAAAGAAAAAAAAGAAAGAAAAGCACGGCATAACAAGCAATCAATTTGTTATGTAAGCATATTATTTGCAAGTCAATTAAGTATTTTAATAATATACTATACCTTACAAGTAGCAGAACAGAATGGTGCTAAATCAAGTGTAAGTGGAAAATCTACATGTCTGTTTACCTTGCGAAGACTCAATCCAGCCTAAGACCAAAAACAAATTTTAATGCAACAAATTCAATCTAAATCATTGTTTGTTAATTAAAACTAAAAGAGGACTCCTAGGAGTTAATTTTTTCCATATATAAAAACATGATTAATGAATAGTACAAAATTAATATATGACAAGGTTTCTAATTAAGTTTCATAAACTGTTAAAGCAAATATCATTTATTTACATGTATACTTTTACCACAAACAATATGGAAATAATTACTTTCACTGTGGCTTTCAACACTTAGGAATAAATAAATTCAATGTAATAAAAACTTAGCTACTGATACATATGCTGTCGTAAAAAGATATTCAACTGAAGAGTCAGGAGCCTGGTAGCCTAGGCCTGGCTCAAGGACTGGTTAACACCTAACGACAACAGACAACCTCATCTATATCAAGGCAACAAATGGATATAAATAGATTAGATTAGTTCCTTTTTGGTTCTAAAATTCAGTGATATTCATTTATTTAAAAAAAGCCAGAATTTTATTTCTTTTATTTATTTATTTATTTATTTATTTATTAAAAAGCAGGTCATTTTATCTTTATTTATTTATTTATTTTATTTATTTATTTATTAAAAAGCAGGTCATTTTATCTATAAAAGTAAATGTTACATATTATATAAATCAAAATGGACCTTACCCTGACTTGTGTGGCTTAGTGGGTTGGGCGTTGTCCTGCAAACTGAAAGGTCACTGGTTCAATTCCTGGTCAGGACACATGCCTGGGTTGTGGGCCAGGTCCCCCATGGTCTGGGGTGTGCAAGACGCAACCGATCGATGTTTCTCTCGCACATCATGTTTCTTTCTCTTTCTCCCTCCCTTCCTCTCTCTCCAAAAATATATAAATAGAATCTTTTTTTTAAAAAATAAACCTTCATATTCTTAAATGAGCTCTACTTCCTCTATTTTTAATTTCCGAGGGCAGAACTTGAAAAATGTACACTTTGTATTATTTAATTATAATTAAAAACTAGCTGATAGATTGCCAAAGGTACTGAATAGGAAACCCACAAATAGAAACTCTATTGGAATCAGAAGATACTTAATCTGAAATATTTGAGTAGACAAAAACTAATAAATGGAACCTTTTATGCAAGGCTTTCTGGACTCACTTCAAGGACATAATTTTACTGTGGATCTGTTGCCTTGTTCCTACCTTTCTCTAAGGGAAAAAAAAGAGCTTATTTTTGACCAAAATATACCCACTTATTTCTTTCTTCAAGTGAATTTAGACGTCTTAACATATCTGACATGAAATTATGAGGTCACACCTCAGGAGTAATTATTTAATCTGTATTCAATTTGTTTACCTTGTTTTTTTCTCATCAGGTGACCTCTATAAGCATCCAATACCAGCACTACCTGGGACCCTTTCAGGCTAATGTGTCCTCTCCCCAGATAGTACTTTGTGGTTCAGAAACTACCCCATAATAGCAGAGGCTTTGTAAAGGGCTTTAATATAAGACAAGTCTCTTTATCTTTTATTTTTTTAAATAATTTTAAGTATATATTTTTACTTATTTTTTTATTATTTTTACCTGCATCCGAGGACGTGCTTATTGATTTTAGAAAAAGGGGGCAAAAGGGAGAGAGAGGGAGAGAAACATTGACGTCAGAGAGAAACATCGATGTGTTTCCTTTCATATGTCTTTTGATAATTTGTTTCATACAATTAAAGTTTACCTGCAGACACTATTGGTGTATGGTACAGAGGGTAGCTATAAACTTTCATTTCCTCCAACTGTTACTTTTCTTCCTTAAGTCCTTTACTGAATAATACGGCCCCCTTCCCAACTGATTTCAGATGACTTCATTATCATAAAAGAAGAGCTTTAAATTATACTTTGTGTTTTACTTGACAATTCTAACCATGCTCTTTTAGAGTTTTATTTTAAAACATCCCTTCTAACTTCTGCATGTGTTTTAATATTTCCACTTATTCATTCTTCCACAGAAATGTTAAAGTCATTTTATTATATGCAAAAAAAAAAAAAAGGTGAGATAAGGCATTGAATTAAAAATATAAAAAACTGCAGAAAAACCTAATACATTAAAAATATTTTGGTTCCCTCCCAGTGCAGAGCCCTACAGGGGAGGAGTCTGCCCTGCAGCCCTTTTGCGCTCGCGCCAGTCACCACGCCCAGCGCCCCCCTGGGGATCTGGAGAGCTCAGAAAGCTCTGTGTGCTTTGCCGGTTCCCTACTTCTAAGGGTTCTTTTTATTTTTTTAAGAGTTGTTAAGAATTCTTATCTTCCATTGACACGCACTAACAAACACACACCACTTGGGTTCCTACCACCCAAATCTTCAAACAGTGTGAATTAAACAATTTTAATTAGAAAAGTCTTGCAAACTATTATGGCTAAAAAGTAGTAAATTCCACATGACAAATTTTTAAATTCAATAAATTAGTGCCTAATCCTTGACAGTATTTTATAAGACTTAGGGCTCTACAAAATATTGGATGAAAATTACTATAGTGTTACTAAAGGGACTCACCTGATGGAATCTTTTAAGATGGAGTATTAGAATAACTGGAACCGCAGAAATGAGCAACTGCTTCCTTGCATTAGTATAAATCCCCTCTGCTTTCTTTTCTGCATAAAATATAACAAATTTATTTGTAAGATTCCATTTTATCTACCATATAATACAGTCAACATTTATATAGAAACATCATGTCACATTTTTTATATTAAAAAAGAAATTCGAATGAATTATTGACATATGTAACAGTATGAATCTGAAGGCATCATGCTGAGTGGCAAAGAAGCAAGAGACAAAAGGCTGTGTATTATATGATTTCATTTATATGATACCCTGGAGAAGACAAAACTATAGGGAAAAGAACCAGATTAGTGAGTCCAGGGCCTACGCAATGGGGGAGGGGATTAACTGCGAAAGTGCACAAGGAAACATTTGGGGGCAATGGAAATGTTTTATATCTTGGTGGTAGTTACAGGACTGTCATCAAAACTTGTCATCAAAACTTATTAAACTGTACACATGAATTTTACTGAATACAAATTATATGCTATATGCAAATTCTATTATGTGTAAATTCAGTAAACTAGATTTTTTTTAAAGGAAATAAAAAAGAAATTAGACTTCTAGTTACAGGGTGCCTCTAACTCTTTCCAAAACCACTGAAACGAAAGACTTTTTTAAAAGGCACACACTTAAACGAGGAATTGGTGAGGTGACACTTGCAACACAATTCTGGGAGCTGGAAAGGAGAGGAACTAGTAGTGACTTTGGACAATGCCCTCTTGCCAAAGACCACCAGAAACACAGCTGTAGGTGATAAAATTGGCTCAATATTTATTGCCATAAAGTGAGAGCTTGAACTATGGGAACCATGGGGGTAATACAATAAGCAGTTGTTAGAAAGAACAGGATAGGATTTGAATACAAGCAACTGCATACTTAACTTTGATTAATATCAATTGGTATTTCTTCCTTCTCCCATTTAAACATTTCCTTAATCACTAGTGTATTAAGCATGTCTTTGTTATGATACTTTGACAACTTAAGTATGCCTTTCATAGGCCAACCAATCAACCCAAAACCCATACTCCCACTGCCTCCTTTACTGAAGTTTTAAATTCTAGCCCACTATTCACCTGCTCTAATCACATGCTGACCAGGTACCAGACTACTAGAGACAGCCCCTGTAGCCCACAGCCCATTGATAAGATTCAAAACTTAGCCCTAAACCTGTTTACCCTGCCTTGCCCATTCCTTACCTTGGAAACCACAATAAAGACTCTTATCCTAGTTTCCCCCTGGTTGCCTCTGCTCCTGATCAACCCTGGTACATCCCCATTTGCCCCTCTTCTTGAGAACTATAAGTGACAAACTATCTTCAGTGGCAACCACATCCTGATCTGTTGGCCTCACCATCCCTGAACAATAATAAAATCTGTATTTTGTAAAAACTAGTCACTAGGAATCTGAGTATTCTCTCCATTTAATCAAGGCTAGAGGTGCACTGAAAATTTCTTACTTGACTTTTTTCCATTTTTTCTAGTCAATTAAATATAGTTATTTTGTTGCTAGCTTTATAGTATACAGTTATTTAAAACTTTCAAATTTCTATGTTGTTATGAGTTTATATTAGATCAATGGGATTTGTGAAGCACATTAATCTCACCATTGATCTCACTAAAGATAAAATTTTAACTTTTAGGAATATTTCTTCTGGGAAGATTTCAGAGAGCTAGTTCACTGAGATAAAATTATGCGGATTTGCCTCTTCGGGGCAGAGATGGATACTTCCTGTTCTTCAATTAATTTCAACAAAAATCTATTGAATATTTGTCTTGCCCAGTCAGTGTCTTCAGTGGTGAGTTACAAATATGTATATAAAGAAGGCAATCCCCGCCTCCAAGCAGCTCAAGTTTGAAGACAAAGTTAGCTTCCTCTTTGGGATCTAATGACAACTAGCCACTATCAGATAATCTATGAATACAAAAAACGAAACAAAACCCCTAAATATTTACCTGCAGAACTGGTTTCCCTTTGGTACTTCTGTTTCTTTTCAGTACAGTTCTCACACAGAAGCTTGTTATTCCCCATTAACAATTCCATAGATGTAAACTGGTAGAGACAAGACTGAACTGAACATTCTTTAGAAGTAGTTACATAGCTCTGAGAAAGGGTTTGAAAAGCATTTTGGGGACTGTGAGACATCATATGCTTTGCCCCTGAAAAATAGAAATTATGTGCAAGATTTAGTGGCTGATTTTCCTTATCAAAATCTCTATCTCCAGTGACAGTGCTGCTTAAACGAAGTTCAGAAAGAGCTTCGGCCGCTCCCTCATCACCACTGTCTGTCTCCTTGGCGGGTGGTTCACTGGCTGAGGGATGGTGATGTCCATTTGTATGCACACAGCATCCACTACTGGATCTTGGCAAAGCAGCCTGCTGAGAAGCCCCTTCCGACTCTGAAGCCTCACTGTCGGCATCAACACTGCCGTCAGAGTGGCTGGCTTCTTTTGCACTGCCATCGGTAGGGTTTTCAGTCAGAGATGATCCACTGTTCATGATGCTCACAAACGCTGAAGAATCCCCATTCACTTCAGTGTTTCCATTCTTCCGGTATATGACAATAGTTTTATCTTCTCCAGATGACAATTTCCTTGTACGTTTTCTGCCATGAATTAGCTGATGCTGTAAATTAATAGCGCTTTTAGAGAAAAGAATCTTGTGGCCTTACTGAATATAAATGACAGTAAGTCGTACTTAAATATTCTATAATTGTTAAATAAATACTATTTCCAGTACTTCTAAAATCCATTTCCTAAATCTGTATAAATTACAACCAGTAGAAGATATACTAACAAATAATTAACTCAAAAATAAACCTTTACACAAGAAGCTGAGAAACCAACAGCAGCTGTTACCCGTTCGCAGAGAAGAGAACAGGGCTTCTGTGGCACAGGCTGTGAGGGAGGCGTTTCAAGCGCAGGCCTCTGCACAATCTCCGTAGTCCTGCCACTTAACAAGCCTTCTACATAGTCAAGTAGATCTGATAGTATATCAATTTGCCAAGTACGTACCAAAAATATTATGTAAAAAAGGTTTTTTACTAAAGTGAAAATTCAGATTTATTTCTTTAAATATATATGGGATAATTCAACAACCAGGTATGTCCCTAGTGAAATAATGAGTATATACAACAGACATCAATGAATGGTAACATCACAGAAAGAGACACTAAACATGATGTGCACCTCCTTGACAGAAGTATACACCACCACTTACACATTTTATTGCCAAAAATTAAACAATTAAACCTAAACCCAATTAGGCCTCTATATCTGACTGCCTTCGAGAGAAAATAAAGGAGACAAAGGCGACATGTAAACATGTGAATGCAATAGCAAAATGAATTACTACTGAAGTGAGAATGTGAGAAACTGCTTTGAAAAAAAAGACCTGATTTCTTCAACAAATAAATTGCAAAGGAAAAAAAAGGCTGGGCGGGGGGAGGGATTCAAAGAGATTTAAGAGACATGGCAATCAACTGCACTCTATAGCTCTTTTTTAGATAATGAATTCAAATACACTTTTAAAAGCAAAAGCAAAAAAAAGTATTTATGAGACAGCTGCAGAAATTTAAATAATGACTGAATATTGGAACAATTACAAAGTTACTAATATTTTTAGGTATGATAATGGTACTGTGGTTATGTATTTTAAAAGAGAATTTATCTTTTTACCCTGGCCAGGTGGTTCAGATGGTTGGAGCATCATCCTGTACACCAAAAGGTTGCAGGTTCAATCCCCAGTCGGGTGCATACAGGAGGCAACCAATGGATGTACCTTTCTCACATCCATGTTTCTCTCTCTGTCTTTCTCCCTTTCCCCCCGCCCCCTTCCTCTCTCTAAAAAAACACAATAAAATATGTCCTTGGGTGAGAATTACTTTACAAAAATAAACCATATTTTAGAGATACACATCAAAGTATATGATATACTTGGGATTTATTCCAAAATAATCTGGGGTGGGGACACAGAGAATGTGAGATACAGGTTAAAACGGGATTAGTCATGAGCTGAGAACTATGAAGCTGATAAACGGGTACATGGGAGTGGTATATTTTTGAAATTTTTCATAATAAAAAGTTTTAAAAAGCAGGTGTCTCACAAACACATACAATCTTCCATTATCTTTAGAGGAAGAATGCCTCCTGGCCGCGCTGTGTTGATATTTTCTGCAGTAGCAGGGCCACGGTACTGCCCATTACCTGTCACCTGTCCACTTCTGTATTTACTAATTCTTCCCAAAAGCACAGGTTTTGAAGCCATGTACATAACACAAAACTTCTTTAAGAAATAAATTCTGGATATAACTTACTTTTTAAAATTTCTCATTTGATATATAATTTTCCTAATATTAATTCTGAAGCATAAAAAGCATAGGGATTTAAATTCCTCGCTAATAATAACTATATCATACTTTATGCATATATACACAAACCCCAATATTACACTGCACAAACTCAACTATTGTATATAGAAAATGACTCAGATATCTGATAATATACTCAACAAGTGCCTAAATATATGAATAAATAAATGCCCTTCATAAAAGACTTATTTTTTTTCTCCTTACCCTTTCTTCTATTATAGGAAGTGAAATATCAATAAAAGGATCTTTCACCGTGGAGATCTGAAAAAGAAAACATATTGAGAACTTCAGGTAGAATTCTAATATAGACAATGTAGTTTTATAAAGGTTTAAACAAATACCAGACTTCCCAGACCACTTAAAATTTTAAGTTAAAAAACTTTCCTGGAACCAACAGCAATTTAATTGGGTATAGCAGCACATACATAATCAAAACAAGATACATCAAAATGTCAGTAAATGCAACCCTGTTGAATTTTATAATGTCAATATCACAATATCAATAATATTTAAAGTAACTTCAAAAATAAACTATATTTAATAATAATGATTAAAGATATAAATACATTTGTGGTAAAATTAATGCCATAACATAAATAAAGTATGAAAATAGCCAGAAAGTTTGACTGTGTTTTGTAGATTCTGTAGGATAATTTTGTTTTAAAAGATAATCTCTACCTTGTGAGAGGGAAATGAACTTCTACATTCAATATACTAGAAATTTAAGAACTATCTCATTGACAGTCTATGCTTCCATATGACAGGCTAGGAGGAGATATAGCATACAACTCTGATTGTATGAGACTAGAGAAGATAGAAAGGCACTCCATGATCTGGAACAGGAGAATGTACATAAAGACTCTCTCTTATAATAAAATCTGACAAAAGTGTAAACCCATGATACTCTAGGTCTTACACTTTCAGAAATATTCCTTATCAAGTGACAGAAAACCTATAAAGATTTATACATCTTTAAATTGTTGTTAAAGGACAGATGGCCTTCCACTACATAAAATGAACACTAAATTCAAAGATGAGTCAAGTTGACTAAAAAAAACCCCAACAAGTTAGATTACCCTGGGTTACGTTACTACATTAAATTATTTCTATGGGAATTGCATTTTAGGGCAATGCACACAGGGTGGGACAAAAAGTAGGTTTACTGTTGTGAGTACTCCAAAGAGCTTATTCTTGTATTATTAATTATTGTATTATTTTCCACATGAACAACTGTAAACCTACTTTTGCCTCACCCTGTAGTTATATAACATAGTTATTCTCATCACAGACCTTTCTGTTATTTCAATCCAAACAAGTAGTCAACACATTTGAGAATATTAAAATAAGCTAAGGGAACTTCACAGGTTTCTCAGGAACAAAAACAAAATAACACATTTATTTTAAAAAATGACGAATTATGTTTACTTTCTAGGGCTAAAGGACATATTTTAAGAAGATTTTCAAAAACTATTATGTAGTCACGTGTCACAAATAAAAATAAATGACTACTGATAATTATGTGAAAGAAAATAATCTAAACAATGTGACTGTAAGCTATTCCATGTTGAAGTGAACATCAAAATACCTACCTTTGCACATTCTTCACACATGACTGTGCTAGTTAATTCACCAATAAAGATCTGATCTATGAAGTTCATTTTCACACCTTCTCTTCCATATGCTGTAAAAATAATACTTTTTAATGCAAAAAATACATGTCAACCATCAACCTTGATGTAACATGTTTTTTTTCTGTTGATACAAAAGAAATCCAAGGCAGATGTCCAGTGCCACATTAAATAATGTATTTAACCACATGATATTATGTCTCTCTCCTTTACAATTCTATACAGAAAATGTGACTATCAACTACAGAAGTCTTCAAGAAACAACAAACTGCTCTTAAAAGGTAAAATAAATAGAGCAATAATGGTGATTCATACTGCATCTCAACTGCTCCCGTTAAACCCTTTAAAACCTCTGTGCTAACACAGAGGTGGAGGGATGGGAAAGGGGTGAGCTTTTAGGACTACAGGTGCCAGGACTATAACTATGGAAATGGCAGAATAGTAGAGACAAGTGGACACAGTATAGTGTAAAGAAATAACATGGCACTTAATATCTCATTGACAGTCTGTGTTTCCATACGACAGGCTAGGAGGAGATTTAATACACAATTCTGATTGTATGAGTCTAGACAAGGTAGAAAGGCACTCCATAGTTCTGCTTAGTTATATTGAAAGTGTTTTATCCATCACTTCTTAGTTATATTAAATGTGTCAAAATTATTTTGTTTGAAAAATATTTGTATATCAAGGGAAGTTATGCCTATGATTCGGGATTGGGGAAAAAAAATAGATGAAACCTAACACCCCATGAACTGAATGTAGTTAAGTGAGGTGATGGGTACATGGATACATGGGGCTTCATATACTATTCTCTCCACTTTAATAGAAGTTTGACATTTTCCACAGGAAAACAGTGGGGAAAAATATATTAAAAATCTATCCACTCCTGTTTCAAATTGCTATCTTTTTGGGGCCTCTTCTAAAACATTGTATTTTAAAAATACCTTTTAAAAACATTTGAAGCACTGAATGACAGATATATCTGGATATATCAATATACATTTATTAATTATAATTATGAGAAATTATGGTAAACTAAGATGTCTCATTAAAAAAAATTGTACAAGGGTATTAACCATAGAAAAGATTTCAAAACTGGAAAGAAATGAAAAGAAAAACTGGACAGTTATTCTAAGTATGCACTAGATGGCAGTATCTCAAAACAAAAGAGCATGCTTGAAAATCTACATTTTTAGAAATCTTGAACCCATAACTGCATACGTTTCAGCATATATAATCATAAAGTATATTTGTTTCTAAATTATAGACATATAGGGTGCACATATAATGCTGCAACAAAATAGAAGTTAGAAAAGAGCATAAAATACAAATAATATTTTTGAGTGTCTCCCCAAAATGACTTTATACCACCATTAGTTAACATCTCAAGGCAGAATATACATTTAGGACATGGTAAGTCATTAATTACAATGAAATATAAACCCACACTTAAATATTTTAAGTAGATCAGCTTTGATTAGATAGTCACTGTTTTTGCCTCAGATTTTGGCTGATGAAGAGTTAACACTAGGAGTAAAATAGACATGTATGCTTGACCTATTAGTACTCTCTTCAATAAATGATTTCCCTGCAGGAATCTTTGGAGCGCTTAAGCATTTTGTCCAGTTACAACTAGATTATATCCATAAATCCACTCAACCAAGCACACTTCAATTGCAAAATGATACAATATGTTAAAAGCGAACTCCCAAGTAAGGATGCTACTTTTAACAACCTTTCAAGTTTCCCTTAGGATACCTCCTATAAGAGCAACAGTGTCAATTTGTATATTTGATATTAGTTTTATTTTTTTAAATTCACATGGGCAAGTTCCAACATTTTATTTCCATGACCCACTAGACTATCTTGCGGCCACTGGAGTAAGTATACCTTGATTTTAAGGCAACTACTTTAGGGCATTCATTCACATAATCCTCAGTTCTTTTTCCCCTGAGAAGAGCCTTCCAGTATTTTCTTATAGAAGAAAATTTTAACAGTGAGAAAGTCAACATACCTTTGACTTTTTTTCTAGTTTCATCATCAGCAGTTTTAGTTGTTGGGTTATTAAATGCTTTCAGAATGCCAGCTTGTATTCTCTATAAAACAAAGTTAGTAAGAACTTACTAAGAATCTATTCTTTCAAAGCAGTATTTCATGTTCCTCTGAATAGAATCTGGTTTAGTAATAGTTAACTCCAGCCTCCTCCTCTTAATAATAGAAGAACTTTCAGACAGTCAGGTACACTGGATCTCAGTTCCCTAGTCAGTAAAATAAATTGACTGAATGTTTTAAAAATGAAATATGTGCTTCCTTCCAGTTCTTAAATTCCATAAATGAACAATTTTCTTATTTGAGAGAGAATTTGAAATTAGAGTCAAAGTTCCTGTGTTTTGGCATGCAGCCTAGCCTCACTATTCTTATATGATTAAAGTAACTTCTCTCTCTTTTCCTTTCTCTCCCCTTCTTTCTCCATTTGTCTCCCTCTCCCCACTCACCACCCTTGCGTGCTTCCTCCGCTCTGACCCGAGAATGATGTATTCCTTAATCAGGATAAAAAGTCACATAGACCATATGAAATTTCTTGTCTATGAAGAAAACCCTAATATATAAGAAGCCCTTAAACTGGTCACTCTGACTTCCAAATAGTGTTTTATTTACATAAATATATAACTAAAGTCCAGAATATCAATTAATGTCCACAGCAAGAATACCCAAATATTTGAATTAAGCTGTCAATAATGATGATGTACTAAGTCTTTAGCAGCTGCTAGTAAATGACAAGGTTTGTTTTCACATACCTTGGGTATGTTTTAGGAAAGATCCAATCTCACAGAAACTTTTTAGAATAAATTAAAACTACATATTCCAAAAATAAAAACTTATCAAAGCTAATCATCTTTCATACTAATTATGCCCCTAATTAATGGATAAATTTAATCATCTCTAATTCCCATTTTAACAGTGGAATGAAAGGAACCTTTGTTAACTATCCTACAAAATATTTTTTTAAGTAAAGTCTTGATCACATATTTTCATATGTGAAACCAATGTTTAATCTGGACTTCCTGGTGTAAAAGTAATATATAATTTTGTTAAAAAATCATTGTCAAAGAGAAATTAAACTCAAGCTGCAGACTTCCTAGAGAATAATGAAAACAGTACATATCAGAATCTGTGATACTTTCCACCGTTCAGAAGAAAAGTCACAGATTTAAATATTTAAGTCAATTGAAAAGAATACAAACAAATAAATTAGGCAGCCTACTTAAAAGTTTAGGAAAAAATGTCAACACTGATCAAAAGTACAAGGGAGTTAGTGAAAGTAAGCTGATCGTGTGACTGGGGGAAAAATAAACCCTCTAGCTAGTCGTAACAAGGTAAGCATAAAACGTCTAACATCACCCCTAAAAGAAAGGGAAACACCAACAAAATTAAAGACATTTGAAGTAATCATGAGAGACCACTTTGCTCAACTTTCATGCAATTACATTTGAAAATTTAAATAAAAAACTAGATAATTTTGTTAGGAAATTAATCCCAGAAAAGATAGAAAATCTTCCAGGTTTCATTGGGGGTGGAGGGTGAAGAGAGCATTGTTAAATAGCGCCTTGCAAAAAGGGGCTGGCTCAAACAATTTCCCAAAGGAATGCCTGGAATCCTACAGGACAGTCTGACCAAGAGGATTTTGTTCTAGTAATGTATGTCATTATGGTAATATAAGCCATCATATTAATAAATGTAGGAGAAAAAATTCAAAACCTTTATATTCCCTATTCATGACTATTAGTTATCAATGTATTAAAGTTCTAGTCATCACATTTGATAGAAAAATAAATCTCAGCAATATTACAAAGATAAAAATATAATAAAGTCAATAGCCATCACACACAAACAAAAACCTAAAGATGTGGAAGAAAATACCCTGTTTATAATAGCAGCTAAAAAGATTAACTAGGAATAAACTGAAGAAATCTGTAACATTAAGTGAAGAAAACTTTAAAACACTGGAAGAATACAAAAGAAAACTTGATCAAATAGAAATACACACTATATTCTTGGATAGCTCCTAATATTATAAACATTTCAAACCCCACACCCCAAAATAGATAGGTAAATAGAATGAATGGGGAGTTGAGAAATAAATCCAAATACATATGAGAATTAGTATAATTAAAATGTTATTAATTTAGTGGGAAAAGCACATACTACACAGTTTGGATGACTGTAGGGCAGTCAAATGGAAAAAAAAGGAAATGAGATATATTCCAATCGATCAAGAGTTAAATCTAAAAATCAATAATAAAAGTACTAAAGGAAAACATGGGAAATTCTTTTATAACCTTGGAGTAGGAAGGCCATTTTGCCTTTTTAAACTATCACTCTCAGTATCCAAAAGCCAAAAAAAATTGTTAAATTCAAAAACAAAAATTTTTAACCTTTATTAAAAAAACTGCTTCCACATAAGTAAAATCAAAATACAAATGACAACCTTGGAAACATATTCTCTCATAGCACAAAAAAGTTTTAGAAGTCAGCAAAGACACAAAATCCAGTAGAAAAATAGGCAAGAAAATAGGAACAGATGAAAAGATAATGAGCTTCATTTAAAAGAGAGAAATGTACACTAAAATTACCCTGAGATATCATTTTCTACCTAACAGATTGGCAAAAATTAAAGTTTGACAAAACAGCCTTTTGGTGAGTCTATAGGAAAACAGACTCCCTTATATGGTATGCTGCTGACAAAAGTGAAAACTATGCCTATGAAGGACAATTTGATCCAGCAACCTCATTTTTGTACTTACACAGATGGACCTACATATATGCAGAATAATATAAATACATTATTCACCATAGCATTGTTCATAAAAGCAAAAACACTGGAAAAAACATACTTGTGTTAAGAAAAAATTGATTAAACATATGTTTTAAGTATATTTTATTGATTAAGCTATTACAGTTGTCCCAATTTCTTCCCCTTTGCCCTCATCTGCCTAGTACCCCCATCGCTCCTCCAATACCGCCCCTTAGTTCATGTCCATGGGTCTTGCATGTAAGTTCTTTGTCTACTCCATTTCCTATACTCTTCTTAACATCCCCCTGGTCTATTCTGTTCCTACCAATCTGTGCTTCTTAGTCTCTGCATCTTTCCTCCCATTCTCTCCCTACCCTTTCCAATTGATAACCCTCCAAATGGTCTCCATATCTATGATTCTGCTCCTGTTCTGCTTGTTTGCTTAATTTGTTATTTGGATTCAATTATTGACAGTTGTGAATTTATTGCCATTTTAATGTGTGTTTTAACTTTTTTCTTTTTCTTATACAATTCCCTTTAGCATTTCATATAATAATGGCTTGGTGATGATGAACTCCTTTAGTTTTACCTTGTCTGAGAAGCGCTTTATCTGCCCTTCAATTCTAAATGATAGCTTTGCTAGATAGAGTAATCTTGGTTGTATGTCCTTGCTTTTCATCAATTTGAATTATTTCTTCCCAATCCCTTCAAGCCTGCAAAGTTTCTTTTCAGAAATCAGCTGACAGTTCTTATGGGAACACTTTTGTAGGTAGTTGTCTGCTTTTTTCTTGCTGCTTTTAAGATTCTCTCTCTATTTTTAACCTTTGGCATTGTAATTATGAATGTGTCTTGGTGTGCTCCTCTTTGGGTCCATCTTATTTGGGACTCTCTGTGCTTCCTGGACTTGTATGTCTATTTCCTTCACAAAATTAGGGAAATTTTCTTTCATTATTTTTTCAAATAAGTTTTCAATCTTGTTCTTCCTCTTCTCCTGGTACTCCTGTGATTTGGATGTTGGCACGTTTAAAGATGTCTCAGAGCTTCCTAAGCTTATCCTCATTTTTTTTTAAATTCCTTTTTTCTTCCTGCTGTTTTGATTGAATGCTTTTTCCTTCCTTGTGTTCCAAATCATTAATTTGATTCCCAGCATCATCCTCTCCACTGTTAGTTTCCCTGAGGATTTTTCTTTATCTCACTTACTGGAAACTTCATTTCTGCCTGGGTCTTTTTTATAGCATTGAAGTATCCAATGAGTTCCTGGAGCATCCTGATAACCAGTGTTTTGAGCTGTGCATCTGATAGTTTGCCTTTCTTTATTTCATTTTGTTCTTTTTCTGGAGTTTTGTTCTGTTCTTTCATTTGGGCCATATTTCGTTTTCTCCTCGTTTTGGCAGCCTCCCTGTGTTTGTTTCTAATATTAGGTAGATGGGGCAGAGCCTTAGGTAATCACTAGGGTGGGGCAACCCATGGCGCCACTGTTTCTCTGTGTGTGGGCGGGGGCCGGGGGGCTTGCAGAGGAGACAATGTCGTTGCTGGCCTCTGGAATTTTGCCCAGGAGGAAGCTGTCACTCCCACTTCACTTTTTCCCCTAAGCCACTGGTGCCCTCCCAGCTGTTGCCCTGGTGCTGAACCCCAGAGGGGGTCTGCATGAGTCCTAAGTCTGTTTTGGGCCCTTTAATAGGACGCAGTTTCTTCTGCTCACAGCCAGAAGTTATGGGGACTTATCTTCCTGGCACTGGGACCCTGCGCTGGGTGGTCTGGACTGGGGCTGGGATCCCTTGCTCCCGAGGTGTCTCTCCCATTTTTTATCCACCACACATGGATGTGGGACTGCCTTTCCTCTTGGTGCCTCTCTGTGCCACTCTATGTCTCTCTCTGTGGATCGCCACCCCTGCTACCTGTCTAGATGAACGTGGCTTCTTTTATTCCTTGGTTGTCAGACTTCCACACAGTTCGATTTTCTGACAATTCTGGGTGATATTTGTTTTGTAGTGTAGCTGTATTTTTTGCTATAGTAGTTCAGGGAGGTGAGGTGTGTCTACCTACACTTTTATTTTGACTGGAAGTGTGGTTGAACATGTGGAGCTTAAAAAAAAAAAAAAGAAGCTTCCTATCTTCTGAGATGGAAAGATTGCTAAAATATCTCAAGTGAAAAAAGGCCAAGTGCAGAAAGGTATATTTACAATATATGCCACCTTTTAAATAAAGAAAAGACAAAATATACACATATACCACCAAATGAGAGCATAAACCAAGAAAGGCAACAACATCACAACATCAGAGCCAGTACATAAGAGAAGG